CAACATTGAAAACGAAACAAAAATATAATCGTCTTTATATCATCCGAGACCGCAGCATGGAATTTTATTATGAAACAATTTGTGTCAAGTCGCAATTATTTATGTATAGACACCATAGCGTTTATATCGATTCACTAAATATATGACTGGAGTGATACACGAAATATATTTCCTTGGATATATTCCCAGCAAACACCGATATATAATTGTTACATTGCTATAATAAAACGGAATATAACAGGTAATATAACGTGTACGTTACATGTAACATCCATGTTAGTTGTAATTTCCCACTCATAGATGTAACATTTTAATATAAAAAATGGTAATAATTCAATCGACCAATTCTGGCAAATAAGTAAATTTATTGAATTTTCACAACGTTTCGGCCGTGGGTTTCGGCCCTTATCAAGTGCTATGTTCTTAAATCAAAGTAAATCACAACTTTTTTAAAAAACAAAAATTCGATCTTAAAATATGACATCATAATAAAACGAAATAAATGTTATAGTTAGTTATTACACAATCAAAAAATAGCTACTGCTGTGCGTGCACACTGGCGAGCCTTAAAGTAAGTATATAAAAGAATATCTATCCCAGCAAACACAGTATATAAATGTTATATACTTAAACATATGTTACATGTAACGTATATGTTAGTTGTAATTTCCCATTTATAGATGTAACATTTTTAATATTACATATATTACATTGTAGTTATATTGTCATTATATCCCAAGATAGCACTGACTTATCAATACATCAATGTGCTATTTGGTGTATAATTACAATATAACTACAATGTAATATATGTTATATTAAAATGTTACATCTATGAGTGGGAAATTACAACTAACATGGATGTTACATGTAACGTACACGTTATATTACCTGTTATATTCCGTTTTATTATAGCAATGTAACAATTATATATCGGTGTTTGCTGGGATATATCTCTAGAAAATAAGAATAAATTAATCAATGTCCAATGTGTATAAGAGAAGATTTTTGATACATACACTGTTTTTAATATAAACATTTATAGATTTGCAAATCTTTTAGAAGACACTTTCTCCGTTACTCTCGTTATACAAATAACGATAGTTATCATAGCATTGAGCATCAGTTTGATACAAGTACGTATTTAATAAGAATATTCCAGGTAGCAAAATTAGTCATTTTGACGTCATGTTAACCTGGATTGTAATTCAACCCGATGTATTAGTATATTTTGAGAGAAGTTGCTATTCACGTTGTTTTTTTTTTAATTAATGGAAGTGTAAAAGAGAGCTAACATATATATTTATGTATATATATTTATTGCGTTTGAGATGACGGTGAAATTAGACAACACTATCGAAGCGATAAGGAACGCGGCATTTGTTGGTGGTCAATTGGTTCATATATTCTGCTTCAGTCTGCAAGGCTAAAAATTGATAGATCACAGTCTAGAAATGCAGAATAAAATGTAAGATAACAATTGTAAATTTATATACATATATGCAGTGTTGTTCTTATTGTTGGATAATTTTACATTTAACTAAATAAAGATGAGATGAAAATATGTAAATTGATCTTACAATTAGATACGATGAAAATGATTTTGTTTTAAATATATCTAGATATAAAAGATAAAATTATATGGCGATGATTTATCTAGATAATATTATTTTTAAAACCGTTTATATAAACACAGTTATAAAAAAATGTAAATTATAAAAGGAAATATAAAAATATATTCATACTTTTATTTGTAAGTTTTTGTTTAAATATTTTTATGTGGCCCTAAATCAAATTATCTGAACATTATTGTAAATAATTTACTGAAAATAACACATTTTTTCATCTAAAATTTAGGTATAGATAATACATATTTTTTTATGTATAAAGATAATATAACGCCAAAATTTTTCATCTAGATGATCATCTATATAATTATATTTAGATATAAAAGCAAACACTGCATATGTCGACGATCAGTCATTTACAGTCAAAATAAAAGAATTAATTATATATTGAAATTCATTTTGTTATAGATATAATTGTCCTTGGTACAAAATATTTGTAAAATCTCAAAGATTGCTTCTACACGCGATGAGAAGAAGCTTGCAATCGAATAGTTTAAGCGCCGGCGGAATTTATATTTTTGCTTAAAAAGCTTCACTACGGTAAAAATAATTTTTGACGAATATTAATATAATCTTAATATATTGTATAATATGTTTTTCTGAAACCCTTTTGAAACACTTGTTCTTATTTTAAAGGTTCTACAAACTTCGATGTCGTATTTTACTGTACTCGCATCCTTTCAGTAATCAATATTAATAAATTATATATTCAAACTGTATTTATGTATTTATGTCAAAGCATAATAATGTTATTAATGTTATGTAATACTATGTATTTATAATAGATTGTTACATTAGAAATAATGTTTATACATACCTTTAAGTCTCATTTGAAAAAATTACCTCGCTATATCCACGCTGTTGAAATATCACACATAACTTTTAAGTCTTCCCGTTTCAGAAGTTAAAGTAAACATATATATGTTCGCGAATAAAAAAATGAACAAATCTGGAAGTTAGAGAATAATAGTACAAGAAGTAATATTTTTTACTTGGAGAACATTGAATATACAGGGTGTCCCATAAAAAATTGCTGAAACTAATCAGCTATCATTATTTAATTCATGCAGTTATTGAAAAAAACAAAAATTATGTTGAAATGAGGAGAGGCTGCAGTTTTTAATGAGTATAAATAAAATGTTTGTATACTATAGTTTATTTTATTGATAAAAAATAATGAAGAAAAGTACTAATAATCACATCAAATCATATAAATTAATGCTAAATATTTTCAACAGTGCTAGATTTAATAGCATCTATTAAAAGGATCGCTAATAACATGAAAAAAGACACGTTAGAAAAAGTTATTACGAGTTTTCGTAAACAAACAGAATTTTCTACAAATTCATTAAATGGAGCGCATTTTAAAAATATTTATCATTAGTTTACATATGTGATTATTAGCATTTTTTTCATTACATTTTTTAAAATAAAATAAACTGGTATATAAATATTGTATTTATATGCATTAGAAATTGTAGACTTTCCTCTTCTCAACACAATTTTTGTTTTCTCAATAACACTGCATGCACTAAAAATGACAACTAATTAGTTTCAGCAATTTTCTATGAAACATCCTTTTATCATATCTTTGATCTACCGAGAGGTAAGTTATTATCGCGTTTATTATCATATCAACAGATTTTAGTAATGGACTAGGTTTATTTGCATCTAGGATATATAATACATAGTAATATTATTAGTACGCGAGTTCAAGATATGAAAACAAAAGTAAAGAGAAATCGGTAGCTGAAAAAAATTTGAAAGAAATTAATCGAAATTCTTATTGTATCGATAATATAGATGAATATGTGTTAAATCGCGAAACAATAGTATATTACGCTAGTCAGTAAATTTTCGATACTATCACACATTAACAGACTAAAATTGTCAAAGTTAAATTAAAATAAAAAAAATAAATCTTAAGGCTGATTTGATAGCTCTTACTCACTTATATATAGATACAATTTTTTTTCTTCCATAGAAAGCGAAATTTTATCGTGAAAAAAAAATATATATATATATGTATATAGCTTTCTTCAAAAATTGTATACTAATAAAAAAAGTTATGTTACAATATTAACGCATACCACTATGTATACCAATAAGTATGTTAGAACATCCCATAAGAATTTTAGGACCGCCAATTCTTTTTATGAATGAGAAGAAAAAGAGTGGATTACATAGATTTATAACAATCTCTCCCTGGTTGTCTTGTAACACGTTAAACTTGAAACTGTGTAAGTCTTAGTCAATTTTAACGGGATATGTACGTGGATATGCGTGCAGGTGTATGCACGAAATCGTGCGACACGCAAGACGCAATGTTTCTTGACGCACGCGAACGGCTCGTACCTTCATCGCACATTTAACGATACATTCGATTATCTAGTTGCGGCAGAAACAAACTCAGACTTCTTTGAATTGTGTTGATCGTAAGAAAAGATCCAAGAAATGTAATGGACTCAATAAATAATATAAACATTTATTAATTTACAGTCGGTGAAACACGAAAAACTATGACTCTGCAAGTTGTTTAGACTTGTGCTATTATATCTTTCATTTAACAGGTTTATTCATAAGCTGCAACATGTAAAAGAAACCAGCTGATTAAACCAAAATTAGTGCGAGATACTTTGCTTATTTTTACACCAATAGGTAGAAAAAAATATTGAAATAAAATTCTCATTTTTTGAGGTCTCAATCTTCTCCTGTCTTCGAAAAAGGAAAAAGTGCAACTGCCCTAAATTAAATGTGCGCTGAACATACGGAGCAAAACGTAAAGAGGGACGATCTTCGGGTCCTGTTTCACTAGTTCCTTTCGAAGGTAAAAAAGCGACATCTTCCCGCACTCGAATATCATATTATCGGATATACATTTCGGCGCCTGTATAATGCCCTTGTCACATTACATCTCTCTCTCTTTCTATATATTTCTCTAGAATTATTGTAGTAATAGTATTGTCTGATTCCCGACTGCGTTCGTTTCTTGTTATTCTAGCGCTTATAAGATAGGTGTGTATGTAATATGATGAAATAACATTAGAGAGAAGATCGCACTTGGATGCGGCGATCTTTTTTTTTTCTCACCTCGCGAGGAAACTGGTAGTTTCTGCGTCGTTCGATGACTTGCACGTTTATAGTTGTTTCTATAGCATGTATATGTATATACATAACTGTTTCTTACATATGTCTGCGTGCGCGTGATAACGTTGCGTCCGACATTCGTTAATTATTTATTCGTGTGGTAAATAGTATCTTTATATATATTATCATTATGTGAGATAGTATATATACGATATCTCTGTATGCGCATATGTATATATAGATGTACGTGTATATAGATATATATATTATTATATATCTACTCTATATATGTATATATATATGTTGTATATTTATATATAACTCTGTGGGTATACAAATAATGTTTACAAAAATATTAATTTGGGTAGACAAACTTTCAATAATTATAAGTCCGTTAGTTCTCGAAATATTCACGAATGCAACAATAACAGTGACCGATTTCATATATCTACAGTATATACGCGAAATCATCAGGGAAACCGTCGCGTTTTCTCTTTTAATTCAACACAAGTCTCCGCACGAGCGGATGCTGGATTTTTGCCGATCTCTCTCGGGAAAAACAGCCATCCTAAAATTATATTATCTCGAAACTCTTCGATGTCGTATTTTTCTTTACGCTTTTTTTTCGATGATACTACGATCTCTTCGACGATCTATATCTTCCTGGATCGAAAAAGCTAGCGGAAAGCGCGCTTGCCAGGAACAGCAACAACAATATAACTTACTAAAATCGTTATCGTACACTACTTACAAACTCGCGAATATCCTAGCGGACTATCTTGCTAAATCTTTTGGTAAATCCGACGCCGGAGAGAGCTCTGACACGATCAGTGGTTGATCTGGTATTTTAATTGTCAATAAAATTATTTGATTTAGTGTGAAAATCATATAGAACTGTTAATAAGTAAATAGCATTAGATGCGAGAATTGATATTTCGAATATTGACGATTATAATTCTGATCGTATGAGAGCTTCTTTACACCTCGCCGCAAACACACACTGACACTTGTAATATTTATATCTTAATTCTGCGTTAATTTAATAACTTCATCGTTAGATCCAAAAAGGAAGACTCATGTGACTGACGTTCTTTACTTTTTTTTCACTGTGAACGCTTAACCCTCTCGTCTTTCAAATTGTTCATCGTTCAGAACGATAAAATGTCGTCTACGTTACATTATAAGAAGTTTTAATCGTATGAACTCGGAAAGAATTTCTTTTCCACGATCGCGTGGATTTAATTAGACTTTTCATTCGTTGTACTGATGAATATATATAAATCTGTGTTTCGCGTGAATTATCACACAATTATCGTCATAAATATTCTCGAAATGGAATTAAACATACTATTTGATAAAATGTAATATATTAATCAACAATTACTAAAATTTCTTGATAAAATGGAATAAAATTGCAAATACACAAATAGAGATAAAATATAATCGCATGACTGACATTTATTCTTGGTGGAACGTAGTCATGTTTTAAAAGGGAAAATTAAAAAGTTCGCAATAATCTCTGTCGTTCGCAATCGAGGACGCTTTGTATTGTCGAAAGTGATCGGGTTAAACGCCGTGTTTATCTTAACGATTTCGTCTAATGCTTTGGTGAATATTATTATCCTGGACCTTGATACGCCGCGCGGCGTCCAAGTCCCGGATCGTCGGCCTTCCTCACAATCTCTCCACGTAGTTCCCTGGGAAAGTGCCGAAGTAGCCGGTTCTCTGACTGGAACCCACGTACCATCCGTCGTCGCACTTCTCCATAACGTACACCGTGTCACCCTCCTTCAGCTCGAGCTCGTCGTCGTTCTGCGGCTTGTAGTTGTACAACGCTCGATACCTTTAGCAGAAGCAACAAATATGAGGATCTCAAATACCTAGGATTTTGGTTTTCGGTGGAAGTGTCTTTTTTTCATTTTTTTTTTTTTTTCATATTTTCTCTAATAGCACAACACATCTGACAATGAAAGATATTCAGAGGATATCCAGAGGACGTTCGAACATCTTCAGGATGTTCTCTGAATGTTTTCGGGATATGTGTGCTGTTAAAGTTGTAGCTTGACTTGCTGAACAAAAGATATAATAGCCTCAAAGCTAAATATTCGATAGTTACTATGAGTTACAGCCAATCAAACAACTCACAAAGTCCTTATTTATCGTATTTAATTGGCTGTCAATCAGTTACTATCTATTATTTAGCTTTGAACCTATTATATTTTTTACTCTGCAAATCATAATTTAAGTGTTACAACATGTGAGAAAATCAGTTAATTTTACCTCAAGGATTCAGTTTCACTTAGGATTTTATATATGTAGGTTAAAAAATCCCGTACTAAACATATAAAATTGAATCTTGGTATAAGATCAGTTAGTTTTTTCATATATTATTGTAATTTATAATCAATAAAGGCTCAAAACTAAATAATAAATAATTACTGATTTACAACCAGTCTAATACGAAAAACTTGAACTCTACGAGTTGTTTAACTGGTTGTAACTCAGAAACTATCTAATATTTGCTATTACATCTTTTGTTCAGCGAAACCCAAGTTTACAACATATAAAAAAACAGCCAAGAGAGGAGAACAAAAGAAAGTAATTCGGATTAAATCTCTTAAGAAAATAAAATGTTGAAGGTTTTACACTGAATCAAATGCGAATGAAAAGCCGCAGACTTACGGGATCGGTTCCGAATGCGTGTCGATGTGCAACGTTTCGCTGAGTTGCGTTATATGCAACTTGCTCCCTCCCATACGTGGCTGCAAAAGGGATCAAACTGTTAGTTGTGTACATTTTTTCAACGATCTCTCGCTTTACATTACTTCCCGAACAGCACACATATTCAAAAGATGTTCAGAGGACATATAGATCCCAGCAAACACCGATATATAATTGTTATAATAAAACGGAATATAACAGGTAATATAACGTGTACGTTACATGTAACATCCATGTTAGTTGTAATTTCCCACTCATAGATGTAACATTTTAATATAACATATATTACATTGTAGTTATATTGTAATTATATACCAAATAGCACATTGATGTATTGATAAGTCAGTGCTATCTTGGGATATAATGACAATGTAACTACAATGTAATATTAAAAATGTTACATCTATAAGTGGGAAATTACAACTAACATATACGTTACATGTAACATGCTTAAGTATATAACATTTATATACTGTGTTTGCTGAGATGATATTCGAATGTCCTCTGGATATCCTCAGGATATCCTCCGAACGTTTTTTCGGATATGTTGTGCTGTTAGGGTTGGAACCGCCTCGAACAACGTTTTTTCGTTGACAACTGTGATACGATGAAGCGATTTACGAGAGAACGGGATAATTACCAGTGAATTGTAATGGGGCTGGGTTGTGTTGATATTGACCGGGATGGACGGCACGTAATGATGGGGTCCCATACTCAATTCCCTCCGGACGAGCCGTTCGCTAAGAGACTGTGCGCAGCCGGAGACGCGACCGGTTTGTTCTGAATCGGTGTCTCTGCGAGAGAAAAAAATTTCCTTCGTCAATTATTGTCGATATATATGGATAATCTCAAATCTCCATAGGATTCCGTAATTACCTGATCGATGTCCGGGTTCCAGGATGACCTCGACGTAGGAAATCGGGAATATTCCCTTTCTGTTTCCTATGCGACCTTCGTACCAATTTTCGTCGACCCTTCTCGTCAAGACCACCAATTCGCCTAAAGAAATAAAGCGATAATGCCAAGAAATGAGCACACAATTTTGCTTGAAGGTAAATTAAGAAGAAAATTCCCAAGCATATTGGCTCACCTTTCGCCAAGGACAATTCGAGATTGGTCTGGGCGATGAAGTTGAATTTGGCCCGCGCCTGTCCTTCGTGGGCCTTCTTCGGTGTCGTTCGCATTGTACCATCGTAAGGTAGAATCTGCATTAGAAACGTTCCAAACTTGTACAATAATCATTGTTGTGTTTAGATGATTTTATTAGCTAAGTACAGATGAGATGAAAATATGTAAATTCATCTTAGATATAAGATAAAGATGATTTTGTTTCAAATGTATGTAGATAAAAGATAAAATTATATGGCGATTCATCTAGATAACTTCCACAGATAAAAGTACATTCAGACTTTGATTAATAAATTTTTTAACGCTTACTGCTCAAGTTCTACTAATTAAGTATTTTTATGTGCTATGACTCGAAACTAAAATTATCTGAACATTATTCTAGATAATTTAGAGTGAAGATGATACCTTTTTTCATCTAAGATACAGATAAAGATAATACATATTTTTATTATCCATATAAAAATAAAATGACACTAAAATTTAATCTAGATGATCATTTATATAATTTTATTTAGATAACAGCAAACACCGACAATAATATAGAACAAAATAGAACGACAAATCAAATAGATAGGATTTTGATTTTCGATGAAATTGGAATTTTTTCCATATGTTAAAATCTATCAAAAGCTAAAATCCTACATATTTGGTGCGGGGTTCTTTTATTGATTCATTCATAAATAAATTCTGCAATACGACAACACCCGGTCACATATAGCTAAAATAACCCAGAAAAAGATTCTGAAGCTTTTGTGATCAGCTCATCCTTTTTATTCTCCGGATCTTGCCTTATCAGATTTCCATCTGTATAATCAAGTCACTTCAAAATTCATTAAATGGAAAAAAAAAGTTTCATAATAATGCTAAACTTTGTTCGTATCAAAATTCATGGAGGAAGAAATGAGCAAATTATCGTCTAAAGAACAAAATATTTAATAAAAGAGAACAAAAATATTTAATAAAAGATATTATATAACCAGTGTTGTGCTTAGATGATTCGAAAATTAGCTAGATAAAGATGAGATGGAAATATGTAAATTTATCGATTTTGTTTTAAATATATATAAAAGATAAAATTATATATAAAATTATATAGATAAAAGATAAAATTATATATGGCGATTCATCTAGATAATTTCCAGATAATATTATTTTTGTAAGCATAATTATTTTTAAAAAATGTTAATTATAAAAGACAAAAATATATTCATATATGTATAACACTTTTTTTCATCTAAGATGCAGCTATAGATAAAATATATTTTTATTATTTATATAAGATGACGCCAAAATTTCATCTAGATGATCATCTATATAATTTTATTTAGATAACAGCAAACACACTGTATATAACAGATTAAAATATATTATAATTAATTTCAAATATAAAAATTTAGTTTAGCCAAGCAAAACAGAACCTATATTTACTAATCCAATACAGGCGGGCGGATTTACCTCGACGTAGTTGGAAGGAAACAGCCCGATCATGGCATTGTACTCCCCTTCGTACCAGTTCTTGTCAACCTGTCGTCGGACAAATATGATGTCGCCGCGTCGGAAAGTCAATTCCCGGGACGACTGGCCGACGAAGTTGTAGAGCGCCCGAGCGACCAAACGCGGTTCCGGTGTTTGATCTTGGGATCGACTTCGCTGGCTCAAATCGTCCACGAAGTCGTCGTAGCGATTCAGAGGTATGGGCGACTTCTGCGAGGGTCTGCAATTGGAATGTTGGAACTGTCGAAATGAAACTGTCTCTCGACGAGAGCCTCGTCGAGATTTTCTTCCCTTTCTGTTTGCCCCGAGCAAACGCCATCTTATATACTTCGCGATTGATCATTATTATCGGGTATTTGCGGATGTTGAGAAATTTCAAGAGGAAATGACAGATCTATATCTTTCCTCATCGCAGTTTTATTAATCAAACCGGAATTTATTAATAAACAAATAAACCATCGATTCAGTTTACAAGTGTTGTCCTTATAATGATTTCAAAATTAGCTAGATAAAATAAATGAAATAAAAATATGTAAATTTATCTTAGATTAAATAAAGATGATTTTGTTTTAAATATATATCTAGATAAAAGATAAAATCATATGACAATTTATCTAGATAACTTCCAGATAATATTATTTTTAAGCTGACGTATACATATAAACACAATTATAAAAAATTGTAAATGATAAAAAGATATAAAAATACATTTATAAGATTTTATCGCTTATTGCTTAAGTATTTTTATGCTGCCTTAAATAAAATTATCTGAACATTATTCTAGATAATTTAGTAAAGATAATACTTTTTTCATTTAACACAGATGTAGATCTAATATCTATTTTTATTATCTATATAAAGATAAGATGACGTAAAAATTTTATCTAGATGATCATCTAATAATATAGATGATCATCTAGATAGAATTAAAATCATCTATATTATTAGATGATCATCTAATAAAATTAGATGATCATCTAATTTTATTAAAATTTTATCTAGATGATCATCTAATAACATAGATGATCATCTAGATAGAATTAAAATCATCTATATTATTAGATGATCATCTAATAAAATTAGATGATCATGTAATAATATAGATGATCATCTAATTTTATTTAGATAACAGCAAACACACTGTTGATAATCTAAGAGTTAGAATGGAATTTCATCTGTTCTCTTTCAGTCAACTGAAGAGACTTTCTACTATCACGAATATCCATGAACGAATTTCCCGGAGGGGAAAGGACGTCGACGAAATCGATCTCTTTCTCTCTCGATTTCTCTACCTGTGTGCTCACCTACGCTTTCATTGTGACGCCCGCGTAAAACAACTCACGACATGTTGTGCAACGGCTATTGAATATAGCAGGAAATGTTTACAAACCGACGACAAGCCAAGGATACACATGCCTCTTTCACTATATTATAAACTTCATCTATGAAAATATTATCTTATGTCGGAAGGAATGTGAGAGTAATCCAATAATTAATCTTCACGCGCAAAAATGTCGAAATGAAAAAAGTTTCGCCCCGCTCTTTTCGTTCTCCTTTGATCAAGTTTGTAATTTTTCCTCTCCTCTCAAAAATAGAAGAGATTAAAGCCTTATAAAAATAAAAGAATTTTTTTTTTTTTTTCATTATTTTATGTCAAGCAAGGTGTCTTTTTGAAGGTAGATTTTTGAATGCCACAAGCCAATTTTCATCAGCAGATTTCCGAAATAATTGAGGTTTAATATATAAAAAATATAGCTTTTTTGCGATATTTTAAATTTTTATGAAAAAATTAACGTTATCTAAAAATTCTGATCAGATGTCATGAATAGATTTTGATGTCAAATGACATTATTAGACATCAAAATTAGTTTGCTATTTAGATATTGTTCTTTCCCTATAAAATGCATTTTTTATTTCGATATCTTTATAGTCATGTTAGGAAGAATTTAAATACAGAGTTTTGCTGAGACAGTAAATATTCCGTTTATGATGATGAAATCATCTAATTATTCTCATAATTTATTTAAGGCTAATTTATCATTATATAGTGTAACTATAGTTTAAGACTATCAAGACACAATGTAACTTATCATGATATATTCCACTAAATGTCTATTTATATATATAAGGTGTCTCATTTTAATTGGCTATTTTAAATTTTTCGAAACGGATAAATTTTCAAAAAATTTTCCGACAAAAGTTGAATGATCTAAAATCTAAAGGATGACAAATAATGGTAAAATGAATTTTGGAAGAACATAATTTTTTTCTTATGAGATATCTGCATATAAAAAGTAGTTTCCAGCTTTAATCTTTCATAACACGACTAGATATTAAAATAAAAAAATTCATTTTGTAGGGAATAAATAATACATTCATGATATTTGATCAGACTTTCCAGATAATATTAATCTTTCCTACAAAAAATATCGCAAAGAAGTCATTTTTTATGCATTAAACTTTAATTAATTTAGAAATCTGATATGCTAGTGTGTGTGAATTTGGTTCGTGACATCGTTTTCAAAAATCTATAAGAAACACATTGTCTGGTTTAAAATAATTTTTAGCTGTAAACTAGTATTAATTATAAAAACTCTTCAAAATATAATCAATCGGAGTAAAATAGCAATAAGACATAAATCCAAATTTACATTAATTAGTAATTTTATTTATGATTAAGTATTGCTTTATAAAACTCATTGTTTTTATGCTAAAAACTGGCTCAAAAAGAGACTGAAACATACGCCTTTTTCGATGACTTTACATTTGCAATATTTATTTTCTTATTTACAATCAAATATTCTTGATTCTTATTAAATTCAATAATTTTTGCATTTGTAATAATTGTTTTCTTATTTATCAAACAAAACATTCTTGGTTTATTGATGCCATTCTCTTACTCCGATCGATCGAAGCTTCATTCAGTCGCGAACTTTCACCTGCCATTTCTCGAATTGAAACGAAAAAAAAAAAAAATGAACAAAACGATTCTTTGACACTTACATGAAGTTGTCCGTGTGCCTGCGAGAGTCGATGTCGTGCAACTCCTGGAGATACTTGCGACGACGCTCCTCCTGGTAGACGCGCCGCATATTCTCCGCGCTTCGGCGCGCGAGCTCCTCCTCGCTCAGCGGCTCCTTCGCCTCTGCACGCACCGGCGAGCGATAGTGAATCGTCACCTCACCCTCCACATAACGCCTCGGCGATTCTGCGTCAAACAAAAGATCGGGGTTTACGGGCGTTTTTCAATCGATCAGCTGTAATAATACGGTTTCGTAGCACTTTTCCCCTTTTTTTTTTAGGTATTTCTGGGCAACTGTCAGTGTTGTGCTTAGATGATTTAAAAATTAGCTAGATGAAGATGAAATGAAAATATGTAAATTTATTTTAGATAAGGTGAAAAGATGATTTTGCTTTAAATTTGTTTGGATGTTTTTCAATCAATTAGCTGAATAATCCGGTTTCGTCGCGTTTTTGCTTTTTTTAGGTTTTTCTGGGCAACTATCAGTGTTGTACTTAGATGATTTTAAAAATAGCTAGATAAAGATGAGGTAAAAATATGTAAATTCATCTTACAATTAGATAAGATGGAAAGGATTTTGTTTTAAATTTATATATGTATAGATAAAAAATAAAATAATTTGGCGAGATTCATCTCGATAATTTCCAGATAATATTATTTTTAAGGCCTTTTATGTAAACACAGATATAAAAAAATGTAAATTATAAAAGGGATATAAAAGTATATTTATATTTTTATTTGTAAGTTTTTATCATTTAAATATTTTTATGTGGCCCTAAATTAAATTATCTAAACATTATTCTAGATAATTTAGTAAAGGTAACACCCGTTTTCATCTAATTGTAAGATGCAGGGATACATATTTTTGTATCTATTTTTTCTATTTATCTATTATTATCTATTTTATTATCTATTTTTATTATATAAAGAAGATGACGTCAAAATTTCATCTAGATAATTATCTAAACATTACTCTAAATAACTTAATAAAGCTAACACTTTTTTCATCTAACATGCAGATAATATATATTTTGATTATCTATATAAAGATAAAATGACGCCAAAATTTCATCTGGATGATTATTTAAATGATCATCTATCTGAACATTATTCTATATAATTTAGTAAAGCTGACACTTTTTTTATCTAAAATGCACAGTTATAAATAATATATATTTTTATTATCTATATAAAGATAAGACGACGCCAAAATTTTAGATAATCATCTATATAATTTTATTTAAATAATAGTAAACACACATTAGTAACACTGTACTCAATTAAACTCTCTTGCCAAGGCTCTCTGCTTGTTTCGAAATACATACACACGTGACGTTTTATCGAGTCATTAATCGGGTCGTCATTTGACACTGCCCCGGCGGACCTTTGTCACAATTAAAAATGATGATGGCGCGCATTAGTCGTCGCGTTCTAATTATAATCTCGTATAATACGTGGATTTTTGTAGGATCACATTCCCGACCCGGACATTCCGACCCGGTATATATTCGCGATCATTCATCCGACGACGTTCGAGTCCGACAGAATTACTGGAGCATGTATCCCGCGTTGTCGGATCGTTTTACCGGAGAAAGATTGAATCATAGGCAGGAGAGACAGCTAGGCGACTCGACCCACTTCGGGGCCACTTCTCGCTTGTTTAGCTCATTCCCCGCTAGAACATATGGCTTCTTCGCGGAGAGAAACCGCAGTATTTAAGCCTCTCTCGCGGTCATCGACCAGCGGAGAGAGATAAAAACCTAGATACGGTCTCTGAACAACGTAATTATACATATGTATATAGTATGTAATGTATGTAACGTAACGCTTGATTGACATAACATATCCGAAAGATATTCAGAGGATATCCAGAGGGCATTCGAACATCCTCAGGATATCCTCTGAACGTTTTCGGGATATGTGTGAGTTAATGTATATATGTAATGTATGTAATGTAACGCTTGATTAACATAACAAATCCGCAAGATATTCAGAGGATATCCAGAGGATATTCGAACATACTTAGGATGTTCTCTGAACATTTTCGAGATATGTGTGCTGTTAGGGTATATATGTAATGTATGTAATATGTAACGCTCGATTGACATAACATCCGAAAGATATTCAGAGGATATTCAAGGATATCCAGAGGACATTCGAACATCCTCAAGATATTCTCTGAACGTCTTCGGGATATGTGTGCCGTTAAGGGATATATATGTAATGTATGTAATGTAACGCTCGATTGATATAACATCCAAAAGATATTCAGAGGATATCCAGAGGATATTCGAACATCCTCCGGATGTTCTCTGAACATTTTCGGGATGTGTAAGTTAAGGTATATATGTAATGTAAGTAATGTAACACTCGATTGACATAACATCCGAAAGATATTCAGAGGATATTTAAAGGATATCCAAAGGACATTCGACATCCTCAGGATGTTCTCTGAACGTCTTCGGGATATGTGTGCTGTTAAGGGATATATGTAATGTATGTAACGTAAGATATTCAGAGGATATCCAGAGGATATTCGAACATCCTCCGGATGTTCTCTGAACATTTTCGGGATATGTGTAAGTTAGGGTATATATGTAATGTATGTAATGTAACACTCGATTGACATAACATCCAAAAAATATTCAGAGAATATTCAAAGAATATCCAAAGGACATTCGACATCCTCAGGATGTTCTCTGAACGTCTTCGGGATATGTGTGCTGTTAAGGGATATATGTAATGTATGTAACGTAACGCTCGATTGACACTTGATTACGCGCACGTGACTCGTCGAGTTTCAGACCGATTTGCGAAATTTACAATAACGCACGGCGCGTTATTAAATCCTCGCGGAAGAGCCGCGTGTATATCGGTTAGCCGCACATTCATCATCATCTTTACTGATTTATGCAAAGGCACGAAGAGAGGCAGCCAACGACCGGGCGCCGACTCGCGCGGAACTTCCTCTCTTCCTCGTCCCTTATCTAGGGAGAAGGAGAGCACGCGCGCGGAACTTATGCATGTACCGAAGCTTCGCTATTTTAGGGGAGAAGTGTTGCGCGCACGCACCTGCGGGATAATGACCAGGTTCATCGCGATGCGGAGAAGCGCACTGCTCACGCATTCACGCATTATGCACTCGCGTGCATCGGTAAGCACCTTGCAACTATCTCCGGCAAACCGCAATCGCGAGATGCATTTAGACGAAAGCCAGATGTGGCAGAAAAACGGGAGTTGATGTGTGAAATTTTTCTGGCACGGTTTAAAAAATATTTAGAAGAGTAAATAAAATTGTATTTAAAGGATAGAGTTTAAGTAAATTAAATAAATAATTAATTGAATTAAAATGATAAAGTAATGTAAATTATAAATATAAGAATTATAAAAATAAGTATAAGAAATAATATAATTAATTTAATAATAATTTAATTCATTTTCCTTTTTGTATCAAGGGTTATTAAATATTAATATTTATAATAGATAATATATAATATATTATATTTATAATAGATGATCTCAAAGTAGAAAGAGTTAAATAAATTAATCGCACATATTTTATATACGTTTTTCAAAGATTAGAATCTATACGTAAAAGTTAGAGAATGGAAAAGTGCGCGGAAAGAAGAGATAACACTAGTTAAAAAAAAAAAAATTTTTTATTATTTGATACCAGACAAGGTGTTTTTTACAGATTTTTAGATGTTGGAAACAATATCACAAGCCAATTTTTACTAGCAATATAAAGTTTCCGAAATAATTGAGGTTTAATATGCAAAATGGCTTTTTTAATTACATTTAATTTTTTTTATAAAAAAGATTAACGTTATTTTGAAATTTTGATCAGAAATCATGTATTGTTCATCCCTTATAAAATGCATTTTTTAAATTTTGATATCTTATTTTTTATTCATGTTAGAAAAGATTTAAATACAGAGTTTTACACAGTGTAATAGATTCTTATTATATGTAATAGAGTTCACTAATTGTATATTTATATATAAGGTATCTCATTTTAATTGCCCATCTTGAAGGAGATGAACAATACATTTATGAAACCTGATCAGAATTTCCCGATAACGTTAACCTCTTTTTCTAAAAAAAAAGTCTCAAATATCGCAAGAAGCCATTTTTGCATATTAAACTTCAATTATTTCTGTCTGATGAAAATTGACATCGTTTTCAGCATCCAAAAATCTATAAGAAACATCTTTGGTGTTTCCGAAATAAGATGCAAAGATGCATATTAAATAATTAATATGAAAAAATGGAATTTTAAATTAAAAAAAAATTTTTTCATAAACTAGTGTAATTAATTCGACTCGTATAAAGAAATTGGAATCTCTCTCGGAATCAGTGACTTTCATCCTCTTTTGCAGTGAAATCGCGCCGGTTTTGCTGCCGACTAACGTAATCCAATTTGTAAGCGTGTAACAATTCGAACGAAGCGAAGCGGCGCCCGGATCATAAATGCCGAAATGAGAAACCGAATTTCAATCTCACGCGCGAAGAAGCCTCTCTTTTCTCTCTCGTGTCACAACCTTTCACCAGCTTTCATTCAGCGAGATTCTCACGCGATCGATCGCTCCCTCTTTCTCCTACGTGTTGAGCCTATTTTTTTCCTTTTGTTTACGGTGCAATCTTACGATTCTTTTCTCTGATTCCCTCTTCGTTAATAATTTTATTCCACTTTATCGTGAACGCTCAACAGATCGTGGGAGGTTACTACTTTCTTTCTCGCGCTATTGTGAAAAATTGATGCACCGAGAATATATTGTATTCTCGAAGTGAGAGAGAACTGCATATTATAAAATATTTTTAACATATATTTTTAAGCGTATCTAGAACTAAAAATATAATTATTTGTTTATAACAAATGGTAATATATTTTTAATGCGGACTATTTCACTGAGATATAATGAAATAAAATGTATATAATTATTGTAAAAATTAGAATATAATAATTAAGAAGTAGATTTTATTTTAGAACATTTTAAAATTAAATAAGAAATTTTTAAAACAAGAATAATTTTAGTTACTTTTAAGAATTTTCAAACGCAAACCTTAAATTCGATTTTTCCGTGAAGTATTAATTACCCGACAAAAATAAAATAAAAATAAATCCAAAAATGTGATAAAAATAAATAATAATTAAATAATCATCAATAAGAGATACGCTAACTAAACGAGCAAAAAATTTTGGACGTTAAGTAATTTTTATTTTATTAAGCAATAATTGGAAGTTATAAATAAAAAAATTAAAAATAGATAATGAAATAATTAATTAAAATAACTTGTATAAAGTTTAAATTACGATAATTATATAATTTTTTTTTTTTCATGATTTAATGATATCGTCTAAATTAACATAAGGCGGAAGGGAGCACCGGTTCCGGAATATGAAACCTACTTTACGCTCCCCCTATCCATCTCTCTCGCCTCTTCAATCAACGCTTCAACAACAGCTATAGCAAAACGATTCTAACAGAGCGCGTGCGCGCGGCAGGAAGAGGATTATTTCAGGAAAATTGTGTGCATGTTTACTGACTGTACGGAATCGGTCCGTAGACTGTAGACGGAAGCGTGCTTCCGGCGGCGTGCATCTGATCGAACAAAGGGCCGGCATCAGGGTCAATCGGAGGTCTGCCTATCCCGACAGGATCCACCATCGTTCGTCGATCACTCGCGAAGCGATCGTCGACCATTGAGGATCCAACATCGCCGCAGGATCTGCGCAGGAAAGACGATCTTCGTCTCTCGTTGTCCCTTCTTCCACGAGACTGGCTATTCGGAGGAGGATCCCCATTATAGATTCTCCTCTCGTCTCCGAGCCGATCCCGACGATCCTTCTCAGCTGATTCGCTCAGCAGATCTTCGACGAGATCCTCCTGGCCGCGCAGAATAGCTACATCGACGCTGTAGTCGTTCAGATATCTCTTCTCGACCTCCTCCAGACGTTCGCACTGCTCGTTCACCGTGCTGAGATCCAACGGAGGAGGTGGAGGGACCCTCGTCTTGCTCCGCAGGGTCAAACGACGCTCGGAGACCGTCGCCTCGTTGAATATTGATTGTCCGGGATCGATCAAGTGTGCCCGACCCTCGTCGCATCGCCCCGATCGTTGCTCCCGACATTTGCCCGACCCGTGACCCGATCTCGCGATATGGGAATCGCTCAACTCGGGAACGTTGACCGCTCGTGCGACGTAGATTGGAGTATCGAGGTTCTGCTTCTGGATCCTCAGATTCGGCAGGGATTTGCAGAGCTCCTGACGTCGCCTTTCGTCCCTATCGAGCGTTAATCGGTTCCAGTCATTTTGCTCCGGTTCGTCCCACATCGATCGACGATATCCGCTTCTATCCAATCGAAAATCGGTGATCTTTGGGTCTCCGTAGATGTACTCGGGCAGGTTTCTCCTTCGACGCCACGTGACGAGATTAGTCTGATCGTTTTTCGAAACGTGGCACCGATTATCGAGCGCAGTGGTATTTTGGCCCACTTTGATACTATGGGAATCCACATATTGATCATTATTCGCCTTCCCAGCCGGTATATTTCTCATGTCGACGCGTTTTATCTCGCTTCCGGGTAGGATGTTAACGAGCACCTTGCCATTTCTCTGGATATTGCTCTCGCGATCGACTCGGGAGGTATTGACGTTGAATTTTCTATATTGGACAACGTTACTCCTTCTGGCCAACTCGACCAACGCGTCGTACTCCTCCTCTTCCTCTTCCGGGGTGCGCGTCGTCTGGGTCCGGGATTTCCGGTCGTTTATACTGCTCATTGATGACTGATTGCTCTGGCTGGTGAGCGTCTCGGTGCTGCCGAACCCGGTACATCGCTTGGACACCTCCTGGTTGCTCCTACCGAGATTCTTGGGATTTGATCCATTGCAATCCCGTCGTGTGTTGCCCGAAGCGAAGAACTGTCGTCGAAGGTAGCGATTGTGCGCGAAAATCTCGTGCAACCGATCCCTGCTGTCGCTGAAGTGCTCCCTCTCGAGTCCCACGGGACGACGCGCCGACGAGGAAGAGGAACGCGGTACCACAGGACTTCCGTAGGTACGTTCTTCTTCTTCCTCCCGAAGACCTCGACCAACGGGTTCGGGACGCGAATTATAATAATAGTCCCGGTAATCCTTGTAGAAGTACTCGCGCTCAAAGTCCGTCCTCGGCTTCCAGCTCCACCGGGAGTTCTGCGGCTCTCGGTGACAGCTGTCCGGGTCCTTCCGTGCGAGCGTATCGTCTTCGCAGCGTACCGTGCAAGCCCGTTGCACTTCAGGCATGGAACCACGTTGATAGGAGTGTCTTTCGACCACCCGACGTCTCTCCAGGTCGCCGATGTCGCTCGCCAGGTTGGTCCACTGAACACTTCGCTCCAGGTCGGCGACGCGCGGCAGCATCTTCGTCCTGCTGCCGGTCTCGTTCATCACGAAAACATCGACACTGAATACTACGAGTAAATAGTCTCTCTCTCTCTCTCCCGGGTGTGTCTCTTAATCAGCGCCTCGGTATCAGGTTTGCAAAGATTACGAGCAAGTTTGTTTTTTTTTTTTTTTTTTATTCTTTTATCAACGTTGAGTTTCCTCAGAGATCAAATCGACGAGTCGGATATTACTTAAAGTCCGATGACGAGCCTCGAGAAATTAATTGCGCGATAACACGCGAGCGGGAAGGATGGAAGACGCCGATTGAGCAATCGGCGGCTTCTTCGGAAAAGTCTTATTCGCGCGTGCGCGAAGAAACGTCACGATTTATTTATTCATCGGCCGATGACTCGGGAGGGCGATCGTTTATGCAGACGCCACGTCCGACTTTTTTCACGTCCCGTCGGTTTGTTCGGACATTAGTCGTCGTAACGGTTGTTACACGACGAACGGATGTGCGGAGGTGCAACGTCGGCTATCAAGGTCGAAACGATTGGTATCGTTCCGTGTCACGTTTCTCCGCTGCTGCGTCAACGCGTATATTTTCGTATTCTCGAGTAACCTCGCGTGTGATATTAATAGAACGGTCCAGATATGATTTAGCTCATTGAAATATTTTTCTTTTTTTTTTTTCAAGTAAACAAGGCTCGAAAAAAATTTGTTGACGATATTTAATATTTAAGAAGAGCCATGCTGTTGTTCGCTTCCTTATTAAAGAGCCTTTCCCGAATTCCCATTCCTCCAAAGTGTCTTAAGTGCCTAAACAAAGCGTGTTTGTTGTACCGACGAAATCCTTCCCTGAGAAAGGTGCTACTTGCACTCTCATGACTATTCTATTTAAATGAGCGCCGAGTTTCCAGGACGCAATGTGGATCAACGTGTTCGCGAGAAAGACGGTATCGCATTTTATTTTTTCTCTCTCAAGGAGAACGAAAGTTTCACACCGGGAGTCGCGACTTATTTTCGTTCCCGCGTCCAATTATTTCCTACAAATACGTTCGACGAAATCTGGAAAATCTACACTATTGAATCCGACATTAATTTCAAATGAAATTCCAATTCTGGGATTTCAGATGTCGCGAATTTCAAGATCCGCTCGATAAGAACGCGCTCGTTCAAAGTCCGAAGGCAAACCCACGTCGTCGTAAACCGATAATATCAGATAACCTTGTACAATCGACTCGCGCGGAATTCACTTACAACGCAGGTATATATAATCTCGTTTCGTTCGAGCTTGCACGAATTAAATCACCGATTAAATAACCGCGACTTTTATCACCGTGACCGATCGTGCACTGATAACTCCGCAATTAAATTCATTCAAGGGTTTTCCAAGAGGAACTCATCAACGGCGTCAGCGCTTCCTCCTCGGAATCGAATTTTTTTTTACACTCTCGCGATTTGACACTTGTCGATTGACCTCTTCTCGATACCTGTTAACGAACGCACCTGCGTCGCGCGAAACACGCGAAACACGTCTGAAGAGGCGCCGCGACGTCGGCACCGGCTTATCGCGGCTCCCTACTCCTTGAAGAACGGTTCACCAAGCACGAATCTCGAGGAACGTCTTCGAGCTCGCAACGCGCTCTCGTAACGCATGTTTATATCGAAAGCGGTATATTTAATCAGCGATATATATTATAGAATATTAGAATTGATTAGATTTGATTAATTTGACACTTCTGTCTATAAACGGGTGGTACCCGGGTACCCCAAACAATTTCAAGTATTAAAAATGTCGGAATCATCGAAAACAGTATATTATTACTGATGTATAATTCGGAATATTAAAATTGATGATTAAAATTGATTAGATTTGATTGATTTGACCTTTCTGTCTATAAACGGATGGTACCCGGGTACCCCAAACAATTTCAAGTATTAAAAATGTCGGAATCATCGAAAACAGTATATTATTACTGATGTATACTTCGGAATATTAAAATTGATTAAATTTGATTAATTTGACACTTCTGTCTATGAACGGGTGGTACCCGGGTACCCCAAACAATTTCAAGTATTAAAAATGTCGGAATCATCAAAAACAGTATATTCTATTACTGATGTATAATTCGGAATATTAAAATTGATGATTAAAATTGATTAAATTTGATTGATTTGACCTTTCTGTCTATAAACGGATGGTACCCGGGTACCCCAAACAATTTCAAGTATTAAAAATGTCGGAATCATCGAAAACAGTATATTATTACTGATGTATAATTCGGAATATTAAAATTGATGATTAAAATTGATTAGATTTGATTAATTTGACACTTCTGTCTATGAACGGGTGGTACCCAAACAATTTCAAGTATTAAAAATGTCGGAATCATCGAAAACAGTATATTCTATTACTGATGTATAATTCGGAATATTAAAATTGATGATTAAAATTGATTAGATTTGATTAATTTGACACTTCTGTCTATAAATGGGTGGTACCCGGATACCCCAAACAATTTCAAGTCTTAAAAATGTCAGAATCATCGAAAACAGTATATTCTATTACTAATGTATAATTCGGAATATTAGAATTGGTTAGATTTAATTTGACCTTTCTGTCTATAAATGGGTAGTACCCGGGTACCCAAAGCAATTTTAAATGTTAAAAATGTGTCGGAATTATCAAAAATAGTATATTTTCTCACTGATGTATATTTCGAAATATTAGAATCGATAATTAGGACTAATTAATTTGACTCTTCTATTAATGAACGGATGGTACCTGGGTACCCAAAGTAATTTCAAGTATTAAAAATATATTCAAATTTTTCTCTGTATAAAATAAAATACAAAAAAACTATCGTATTCTGAAATTTCTTAAAATATGACGAGAAAGAATGTTTGATGTTATAAAAAAATTGTACACAGTGCAATATATCAAAATCACACAATTAATACCCGGATATCCATTGATGAAAAGGTAAACAAAATTATGCATTGAGAAAAAAATTAATTATTATAAGTAAAGAATTCTTTACAAAAGATCAAGGTCAAGATCAGTACAAAATATAAAATTATTCCTGTACATAATGTAATATCTCGTAAATATAATGAGACATAATTAATTACGTGATTTTTATAGAGAAATTCGCGAGTTAATGTACGTTTATTTCCTCCAAGTCGTTATCCACAAAGATAAAAAAATTACGTTCGCGCTAAAAAAATATTCGAGGTCGCTTACAAAGCCGCGTTGTTATTTCACAAACCCATATCGCGGGCTTTATTATTACAGTGTCTTTTTCATCAACTTTTCACAGCGCATCACTAATTATTCACAATTTTCCCAACACCATCTCTGCATTTGTTTCCCTTCATTCGTGTGTATTATGTATACAAATTTGAACGCAGATAGAAAAGACAGTGTAGAAAAACGAGATTCCATCATCGAGGCATCATCCGTCGAAAAGCAGGAAAAAGCACTAATCATTGAGAGAGATTAGATAAGAGGCGATCGAGCACTTCTTCGCGAGGTCATCTTTGTACGCGTTAAATGTTTAGTTTCGATGCGATTCACGCATACACGTGACAATGTCAAGGATAATCATCTAACGTTGAAGAGACTCGGCCACGTGAGCTCGGTGATTAGGTGTATGCTAATGATATATTATGCAATAACGGGGAATGACTGTTCCGTATTACGCAGCTGTTCAAATTTATCGCGAGATATTGTAACCCAACACACAGACACACGCATACATGTGGACAACTTATTACTTCAGCATCGCGTGTGTGGTCATCGTCGAAAATATAATGATGACCATCGCGACTACTTATCTAATTTTAACATCCCACAAATATGCGATCTACGATTAAATTATGATTTAATTAAAATCATCGACATTTTTTCATGAATTTATGGTGATGATTAAATCACACTTGTAAATAAATTCTAATGCATTTTCAATGAAAAAGATCCTATACGTAAGTATCTCTGGAAAATTAAATTCTAATAATTAATAATTACTAAATATAATAATATTAATAATTAATATATATATAATATATTAATTATAAAATAATATAAAAAATAAATATTATTAAATTCTTATAATTAAAAATAATTATTTATACGTTGCAGATAGCAGACAGTGTTGTGCTTAGATGATTTTACAAGTACACTGTAAAAAAATATGTAATATATTACACAAAAATATGTAAAAGTACATAAATAATACGTGTAAAATTACACGATGAATAATAGAAATGTTTACCTTTTCATGATTTATTATATAATTTTACACTTATTATTTATATAATTTTACATATTTTTTTACAGTGTAGCTAGATAAAGATGAGATGAAAATATGCAAATTTATCTTAGACACGATAAAAATAATTTTGTTTTAAATATATCTAGATAAAAGATAAAATTATATATGGCGATTCATCTAGATAGCTTCCACAAATAATATTATTTTGAAGACCGCTTACATAAACACAGTTATAAAAAATGTAAATTATAAAAGGAAGATAAAAATATATTCATACTTTAATTTATAAATTTTTATCGCTTATTGTTTAAGTCCTACTAATTAAGTATTTTTATGTGCTATGACTCTAAACCAAATTATCTAAACATTCTTCTAGATAATTTAATAAAAATATTTTAGTAAAGATAAAACACTTTTTTCATCGAAGATGCAGATATAGGTAACACATATTTTCATTATCTATACATATATATAACGTCAAAATTTTATCTAGATAATCATCTATACAATTTTATTTAATAACAGCAAACACTTATAACAGAATATGTTAAAAGATAATTCTCGATTGCGTGCGGTCACATATACTGCAAGTGTGTAAATTGAACGTCAGCCAGTTCACTGTTACTTTTCCGTTAGACAATTAGCATGCTCGGTTGTGTGTCGGATGCCCTTGACACGGTAGAACCGATAAAATGATTTAGGGCTCTTTCTCTCTCTTTCCCACTGATATCTTGATACGCGCAATTATCCCGACAAAACTGATTTCCGATCTAAAATTTACGACGCCGCGATTAGTAACTTCCATTATGTAAACTGACAGATCTCGTGACAGATCAGCTGATCGCCGGCTCGCACAATTTTTCCTTCGTCGACGTCAAATGTCGCCATCACCTCTATCGCGATTTCATTATTTCCCGATCTCACCTGCTCCTTTTCCTCTCTCTCTCTTACGTAATATAATTTATTTTCAGACGGTTCCGTCCTAATTGTACCTTTCTAATACATATAATTGACCAATACACGTGATATCATTTCAATTTTTCAAATCATCGCGAATCATGATTAAGACATTGAGAACCAAAGAAAGCGTGAAAAAGTGAGATAAAGATTTTACAAGCAAGATCCAATTTTACGCGTGCAGACTTTCTGCAGAGCAACAAAATATCCCGTCCAACATTCCTCTTGGCATGCAACGATACATGCATCGGGACCTCGTCGTCGTTCAGCCAAACAAGAAAGCTAAGCGAACGCACGATGCACGTTTAATATCGAATTTTCTAATCGGGGCTGCACGGCGAGTGATTTCGCTAGCGCGAGCAAATTTCGCCATCGCGAAAGCGCGTTTATTTTCGGCGCGATATCAAACGCGGCTTATGACTTATAAGCGAGGGGATTAATTAACGCACGTAACGCGGATGAACATCGTCGATTATTGCGCTCATGCTCGACCGCTCGTGCAAACCCGGTTGTGCAATCTCCTTTCCTCTCTTCCTAAGTCACGCATCCCCGAGTCGCATGGTTCATTGTGCACCAATTATCATAACCATTTGCTATTTTTATCTAAATAAAATTATATAAATGATCATCTAGGTCAAATTTTGGCATCATGTTATCTTTATATAAATGAGAAAATTATATATTATATGTATATAGATGATAAATCTGTATCTTATAATTAGATGAACAAATATGTGTTATCTTTACTAAATTATCAAGAATAATGTTCAGATAATTTGATTGAAAATTATAAAATACTTAAGCGGTGGAATTTGAGCAGTAAGGGATATAAACTTATAAATAAAAATTTAAATATATTTTTATATCTCTTTTATAATTTTGTTTTATAACCGTGTTTATTTAGCGGTCTTAAAAATAATATTATCTGAAAGTTATCTAGATGAATCGTCATATAATTTTATCTCTTATCTAGATATATTGTATTTAAAACAAAATCATCTTTATTTTATCTAACAATGAGATATATTTACATATTTTTATCTCATCTTTATCTAGTTAATTTTGAAATCATCTAAGCATAACACTGGTCGTGACACAAGTGTCTAATAAGTGCCAACGTGCACGCGAACTCCAATAAACGTCGAATTGACGCAAATGATGCCAGATGCATGCATGCATGCATGCGTGAAAAAATTTATGTCTTTCACGTCTATTCTATCTATTCTTTAAAGTTAGAGCTGTTTCAATATCAAAAGGTTGACAGAACGGAAGCGTTTTATTATTTGTTATGATTTATGTGTTCATCCGATGCGAACTCTAAATTAGAAATATTATTTCATTTTATTAGATGCATAAGTTCTTGCCGATTTTCTGCCATTTTTTACATTTTTCAGATGATTCATTCAAGCTAAATAGATGATAATTAGAAGGAGCAATGTTTGGCGAGAAACTGAATGCGAGAGAACTTCTTATTCCAAGTTAAACAATGTTTTTCATCTCATTAGCAATATATGACCCAGCATTATCATGCAGCAAGCTGATTACTGGCTATTTAAATCAATTCACGTTCTAATACCTATAATATTTTCGCCATAATCTCACAAATGTTTCCGTGTGAATCAACAGCACTTCCTTTTGATAAAAACAAAAGGCAGGAATGAATGTGCTATTTATCTTATAATCTATTTTTAATCATACTAAAAGACATTATTTCACAGCTTTTTGATCAATTTTAACTGATAGATAGCATATCTTCGTTTTTTTTCAGATAAGTTAAAAAAAAGAATTACATATATGCTATCTGTTAGATAAAATGTATCAAGAAGTAGAAACAATAACCAATAAATATAAGGATATGTTAACAGTTTAGCGAAAATGAAAAACATTTCTGTTTATAAAGTTACATTAGCAGACATTGGCAAGAACTTTTGCATATTTTCCGAATGAATTCTGAACTTGCTGATTTAGTGAAGATCAGTGCCAAACATTACATCCCAGCAAACACCGATATATAATTGTTACATTGCTATAATAATACGGAATATAACAGATAATATAACGTGTACGTTACATGTAACATCCATGTTAGTTGTAATTTCCCACTCATAGATGTAACATTTTAATATAACATATATTACATTGTAGTTATATTGTAATTATATACCAAATAGCACATTGATGTATTGATAAGTCAGTGCTATTTTGGGATATAATGACAATATAACTACAATGTAATATATGTAATATTAAAAATGTTACATCTATGAATGGGAAATTACAACGGAATATAACAGGTAATATAACGTGTACGTTACATGTAACATCCATGTTAGTTGTAATTTCCCACTCATAGATGTAACATTTTAATATAACATATATTACATTGTAGTTATATTGTAATTATATACCAAATAGCACATTGATGTATTGATAAGTCAGTGCTATTTTGGGATATAATGACAATATAACTACAATGTAATATATGTAATATTAAAAATGTTACATCTATGAGTGGGAAATTACAACTAACATATACGTTACATGTAACATGCTTAAGTATATAACATTTATATACTGTGTTTGCTGGGATAAGACAACACGCGCGTAAACATACACGAGATGCATAAAAAAATACACACACACGTATATAATATACTATAATGACATACACACACTTATATGATATAATATAATGAAGATATGATATAATAATGATGAGCTTGTAATCGGCATTACCTTGACGATCGTCCCTGCAGTGCTGGGATTTTGGCGGCGGCGGAGGTGCATTCGAGTATTCTATGGATGAGCGGAAAAAAATTAAAATAATAATTAGCCGTGCTAGACAGCTATACGAAAATAAAAATTCTCGGGAATTGAACAAGGTGACGTGTACGATCCTCCTCTCTAGACTCGAACCGATATTGGTGATTTTTAGATCCGACTATTCACGATTTTAATTTCATTCAGAATGATACATTTTTTACTTCGATCGTCGGAGAAAAACCCGAATTTTTTGTTAAAACGTAAAAAAATTTTTTATATCATTTTTTTCACTCGATAAGGACCACAACCACATGGTCGAAACGTCGTGAAACTTAATAAATTTTAATTTTGAGCTGGTTTGATCGACTATTCAATATTCCTTGTAAAAAAAAAAACTTCTTTCTTGCTCCTCAAACTTAGAGAGACTCCGAGAGCCAGCCTGGACTCTCTAAACACCTGCCGGGATTCAGACCTTCAAAGGTGACGGTCGGTCGCGCCGTGTAGACGGGCAGGGTCGGCCACCAGGTTCTCCGCTTCCGCAGGGCGGTGGGAGATGGCGGCGGAGGCGGTGGTTGGTACCTGAACCTCGGTCTGTGCTTGTCAGGGTCGAAGGGTTGCCCGGCGAAGGCAGTAGCCTGCGAGGGTTTGAGAATCGACGCGGGCGTTCTGGGTCGCGTCGGCGACGAGGAGGTGGCTCGCGGTCGTTCCGACCTCTTCCGGTCGGCGGGAGACGTGGGACGCGTCCTGGATGCGCCTCGATGAATCTCCAGATCAGCCGGGGACGATAGAGACCGCATGTTGTCCCGACGACTGGGAAACCGATGAGCCACCCACTTTCCCGCCAGGTAGGGCGCGATGTCGCGAAGCTCGCGGACATCCGGCGCCGACGTGAACATCTCTCCCATCAGGGAGGTCCTTCCAACGACCTCCGGCGACTCGAACCTCCTCCTCATCCGACAGACCGGTCTTCTCGCTGCGAGTTCCTGGGTCTCCGCCCGCCTGGCCACGTGGTTGGTGACAGTGCTGGTAGCCTGGGGTTCCTTCAGCTCGGCGGTCTTACTGATGACGTCGATGTGAGGCATCGAGAGGTTGTCGCGGCGCAACGGCATCCGCGGGATCGGCGGCGACTCGCCTCTTCGTCTACCTCTTCTTCTGCTCGTCTCGAATCTCCTGCGCAACCAGGCGACGTCATCAATCTCGTGCTCCGCTATTTGGGATTTTCGCGTCGCCTCGCCCTCGCTGGTTCTCTTCAGCAGACACCTAGCCAGTTCCGGGTCGCTCCGGAAGCGCTTGGGCGCGGGCGCGACCTTGACGCAGGACCTTGACAGGTCCTCGGCGCTCTCGAAGCGCGCCCGCAGCCTGCGCACCGCGCCGCTTCGCACCAGCTTCAGATAGGCCCGCCAGTACCTCTCGGGATCCGGCGACGAACTGCGCGGCGGCCAGCCGCTTCCGGAACTGTCCACGCTGCAGGACGAGTTCGATCGCGTGGTCGCGCGACACGGACTGACGCTCTGCGGTCGTCTGGCGTCGTGTTCACGCTCCCGTGAACAGGAGCGGAACGGTGGTCGTTGCTGCTGTTGTTGTTGTCGCACACTTGTCACTTCCGGTCGCCGCTCGCTGATGCTTCTCCCGCTCGACGGTGACGTCGATCGCGACCGATCGATCCTGACCAGGCCGTATCTGGCAGACTCGGTCTCGCCGAAGAGCTCCTTCAGGTCGGCGAAGCTCTGCGACGACGACAGCTTCTGCCTGTCGCGAAACGTTCTTGTCTTCTCTTCGCCTCCTCCTCTTTTGTCTACGTTCTCGAAGAACTCGATCTTCCGCGACACGTCCTCCGTCTCGATCACGTTGCCCCGTTGAATCACCGTCTTCACTGAAGCTTCCGAGCTCTCCGTCAGGCTGTCCACGTCGCTGCTTGAGACCAGTTTGCCCGATTTTCCTTTTTCCGATGGTACCGCTATGGCTAACAGGGGTGGCTTCTTCGACCATTCTTCAAGTACGGTTTCCACGCGCTGTTTGTCGCTAGGAGTCTCGTTATTGGGCGTCAATACCAGTAAAAAGTCACTCTTGTCCTTGGATTTGGTCGAATCCTCGCCTCGGTCGTATGACGCTTCGAGGGAGTAACATGTCCTGGGAGAGGTGCTGGCTATGCTGGGAGTGTCGGATGTGCTCTTCGCGGTTGACTTTTTTGGCATCTTCTCGATCGCCAGGGCAGCAGCTATGCTGCCGCGAGTCTCTCGAGGTGCTAGAGGCGAGGACAGCCTCCTTCGAGATATTTTGTCCAGGACCTCCTTCCCGAGGGTCAACGACAGCCTCTTCTTCTCCAGCTCCGACATCGGCGGCGAGACCGATTTTTCCGATCCGGATCTCTCGAGTCCCTTCAGGCGACCGATGGAGTCGCTTCTCTTCAGGGTACCTTCGACTCGAGTCATGTCGCAGCTTTGTTCCTTCAGCATTGACGACTCGTTCGTCGCGATCATCGAGTGGCATCGTACGTGAAGGCTCTTTGAATCGTGCTGAAGACGATCCTTGGAGTCACCCTCAGGCGGAACAATGATCTCGTAGCTCGTCGAGGTTTCGCTCTTAACGGATTGTTGATCCTCGCTGATCTCGCGAGACGTTTCCACGACTTCGCCATTCGAGCGCAACGTGGATTTCTGAGGATTGTCGCTACCGTAGATTTCGTTCAGTTGCTTCTTCAAGGTTGCCACTTGTTCGATGGACAGACTGCTCCAAAATTTTTTGCTACCACCGAGGCTTCTCTGCAGGGACGGATGATGATCAGCGGACCTGTCCGGGTCTCGACTGGCGTTTGCCTTCTTCTGCATCGTCGTCGCCACGTTCACAACCGAGCTGCCACGCCAGAGAGGTTTGTAGGTGTCCTTCTGAGAAGAGATGGCTGCCCGCCTGGAAGATTCCAGCTGGTCCCCCTCGTTCTGGAGTCTTTTGAAGTACTGCAGGATGTCTTCCACGGAGCGTTCCTTGCAACGAAGTCCACAGTCACCGTGCCACCTGAATTTATCAACGTCCTTCGCGCTGAAGAGAAAGTCCTTGTCGCGCTGCACGCTCTTCAGCTTCCCGTAGAGCGCCTTCAGCTCCTGTTCCGCCTTCTCCTTCGACCTAACTTGCTTCCAACGATCGTAGTCGATGATCTCCTCGTTCTTCATCCTCGGACGTAGATCCCCGATCGAGAACGTGCGCTCCAGCTGATCCATTCTGCTGAGACTCGTGTAAAAGTCACGCAAGTCCTTGTATCGCTTCGACTTGCGTCTGTGGTGTAGCAACTCGAGGATGTATTGCTGATAGTCCTCGCGATCGATCGACGACAGAGAGCCGGCGCTCTTCAAGGACAAGTTCGAACCGAGCATCCTCCGCCTGGCGTCTTCAGCCTCGCCGGCGCTCTTGGCTCTCGTCTTCTTCAAGGTAATCGACGGAGCATCCAAGTCGTCTTGCTTCGAAACGCGAATTCGTCTCACCGGCGACGGCGAGGAAGACTCTCTGGATTCCGGCAGAGTCTTCAGCGGCGGTTCGCTCAGACTCCGCTCCTTCACGTGTTCGCGGGACAAATCCGGGCTGCGATCGAGCAACGTCGTGGACGAGCTGAACTCGTCTATCCCCAACAGACTGTCGAACTTGCTGACCTTCTGCAGAACCGATCTACCCGGCCAGCAGACCCCGTACGGGCTGGAGCTCCTGGACGAGACGACGCTCTCGCGCTCCCAGTTCCTGAACTTCGAGTTCGAGACCGGCCGCTTGTGCGCCAGGTAGACGCTCAAGGATTTCAAAGACGGCTCCGACCTAAAGCCATCTCTCGCGATGTCCTGGAATATTCTTGCGCGCTCGCCGACGAGAGACCTTCTCGCGGACGCCTGAGATTGCACGGCCGACGAGTTGCTGGTTCGCAGAAAGAGGTTTTGAAAGAAGGTGTCGGTGCGCGTCGCCTCCTGGTGCCGCTTAATTTCCTCGACGGTCAGCGGCGCAATCCGATCCTTGAAAGGTTCCTGCTCGACGCTCGGCACAATCTTCTCTACCCTCCTCAATAACATGATGTCCTCCTTTTCGACCATCTCTTTCCAGCCGTTCAAGGACACGCTCGCATCCACTTGGTCGCTGTCCTTGTCCCTCTGAGTCTTCTTCCTCGCTTCCACCTTCTTCCTGTTGCCGTTTGCGCCCACGCGTATCGTTTCCAACTTTTTCACCGGAGTCCTGACGATCGTCTGCGGCTTCTCGCGAGGTCGCTTCCTCCTGCTCACCTCGCTGTTCACCTCGGAACAGGACGAAGACACCGAGCGCAAGGATTCTTTACTGACGAGAAGTTTCTCCGGCGGCTTCGCGATTATCTTCGCCTTCTTCGGTTCTGGCAGAACCTTCTTAGCGATTTGCGATGACGTGCTCTTCGCGGGAGACTTCACCTGGGAACTCGACGTTTTCCTCGTCGTCGAAGATGGTTCAGGCGTCCTTCGCAACAAATCCTGTCCCTTGAGAGGTTTATCTACCAAACGCTTCTGTTTGCTCGATAAACCGTAGGGAATCGTCGAGCTCTTTGACGAGAGCAGTCTAGACTGCAAGTCTCTGGTTTCTCTCTCTTTCTGCCTCTGCAAAGCCTTTCTAACCTCCACTGGCGAGGAGAGTTCCGCCGGTGACTTGCTCAATCGCTTGCACGACTGTTCCTGCTCCTTCTTCGTCAAACGAGGCTTCTCTCTCTTCGCGCCCAACAAAGAATGATCCGCTCTCGCGGCAATTTGGCTCCTTTCCGGATTTTGGCTCGCTCGCTCCTTGGAAGTGTACTTCGATGACACTTTTACCACCGGGAGTTTATCAATCTTCGAAGATTCCCTTACGGTTCTCGACGATGCTGAGGAGCAGACGTAACTTCTCGAGTTCGCCTTCTTGCTTACTTCAAACTGGCTCTGCGACAAGCAGGGATCCGACTTCCTATTGCTGAAGACGCTGGAGAACAGACTGGACTTGATCCTCGGGGTAACCGGACTGCTGGAGGATGTTCGCGCGATGATCGCGTTGTGGAGCTGCTCGCGGTTTCGCCGATGTCGCTCGAGGTTGCTACAGAATTTCTCCCTCAGCGACCTGATACTCGTCCCGCTGTCGGCGCGCGCGAAGCACTGCTCGTGCCTGGGCTTCGACGAGGTGGAATAGGACGAGCTATCGATCAGTCGCGTGCTTTCCGAGTACAGCTTCAGGGTTCTGCTGTGGCGCGAGGACTTTCTTCGAGGCGGCGAGGGCGGCCTCGGCGCCGACATAGCTTGGGACGGAGAACCACGAAGAGGAACGGCTCTCATGACCGGCGGCGACCTCGAAGGAACCGAGACCGATCGTAGAGTCTGCGAGAACGAGGAGAAGACGGTCGAGGCGCTTCTCCGATGCACGCGTATCTTCGTCAAGGTCGGCGAGATCGGGAAATACTCGATCTCGGAGTCGTCTGTGGAAACAAAGTTTCGGGCAAAGTTCGTTTTGCATTCTCCTCTCTACGCGTCACTGACTTAGCCCGTTTTCTGCCTCTTACACCCTGCCACCAAAAAAAGTCAAGCCTCTGTCTCGCTCAAGGCTAATTGCAAGTCGGTGGCAAACTCGCTCCTGCGTCGTGGTGTGTTACTGCTTGGCGGTGCGCTTGCTTGTATAAAAGAAGATTGCAAGAAAGGAGTTTGTAAAAGAATCGAATTCCGCGCACCAATATCCGTCTCGAGAGGAGAGCTGTGCCATATTTAAATTTGAAGGTGGGAACGCCCGAGGCAGAGGTTGCATCAACACCGACGTTCGGTTGGTTAACTAACACCGATTATCGATTACCTGTTCCCCGGTCGTAGATCGTAGCTTCGCTATGACGCGATCGGGGAAGAAAAGTTTTGAGGGCTGACGGAGGTCGATAATATGCGAGGAAAGCGAACGCCGTTGATTAATTAATTAATCGATATCAGAGTCTCGAGAGTTCTCGCTCAAGTTTATCGGAGAAATAAACCATAATAGACGGCTCTATCAGGCAAACTTGGACACTTCATTGTCTCTCGCGTTGCCTCAGCCTAATTAATCGCGATTAGTATTAACTCGACGTTGATGCAACCATCCACGGGTAGATACACATTGGAGCAGATTCGTATGTGCCAAGCTATGTGTTTCAGCGCACTACGTCATGCCTTGCGCTTTTCAGCACGAATCATCAGAGCTGCGAAATTGAGATTCAAAATCATCGTCTCGATTCTCAAATGCATGAAACATTCAGGATGTACTACACAAATTGTTCAAAAAATGCGTGATTATAAAAAAGAACACAAATTATAACAATAATGTTCTCTAAGAATGATAATGGTGTAAAATAATTTTTGACAACGCTAAAAAAAATGCATGCGTGAACAAAACATTAATTAATAAAACAACACACACACATATATTGCAAGCAACATTTGCTAAAATGTACACCCCGCATGCCAGAGTAAAAAAAAACCTGGGTTACACGGCCGATATCGATCAGCGTGCTCGATTAAGAAAGGATAGAGCGTATCAAGACGAATAAAAAGGATTAAAAAAACGAACGAATAAAAAATTAACTTAAAAAATTAAGGCTCGGAGCGACTCACCCTTCGGACGTTCCGGGGCTGGCTTGCGAAGCCCATGGAGGGGTACGTCGCCACCGCTTTGCACCGTCTTGTAAGCCAGTCTTTGTTCCAGAAGACTGAGCGGACTGATATCCTCCCTTCGGCGAAACACCAGGGTCGAGTCGCTCTCGTATCCCGACTCTTTGAGGGCACTTTGCAATCGAAAAACGACGCCGGTGAGTGACACGTCAAGGTGTGTTGTTATAGAAAACATATGGGATGCCCCAGACCTACTGTATAATTTATTAGTCGCAAATTCCCGGGATCAATTGGGGACGATTTTTCCTCAGCGAAAATATTGAGGCAACGATCATTTTCCAGTTACATATAAGCAATTAAAAATAAAGGTTTTTTTTCGCAAACTAAGTCTTGTGGAGAGAAAATATTAACAAAACCACATTCTTCAGTTAATTTCAGGTAGAGTTTATTTTAATAGGATGTTAATTTTGTTGCAAAAATACATGATGACAAAAATTGGGAAAAATCGTTTTCCAAATAACGTCAAAAATCTAACGGGACACTCTGTATATCAACAAATATATTGTATATAAATATATAAATAAATAATAATATATAAATATAATATAATTATATATGCACAGGGTGTTTCTAAATAAATGCGACAAATTTTAGACGATTATTTGTCAAAAATAAAAGAGGGTTTTTTTATATAAATATATCCTTCCCTGAGGAGTTACATATACTTCTCTAAAGGGGATTTAAAAATAAAGTTTTTTTTTTGAAAACTATTAAAATTTTATGAAAAAAACTAAAGAATAAAAAAGAAGTCAAGCTTTCTAACGCATATTTTTAAATTCCGGTTCGTTAAAAAATTCTAATAAAAAATTGAATAGGAGTTGTTAAAGTTTCATCCCCTTGAAACGGAAAGATTAAAAACTATTAATATAAATATCCTTTTTACTAGTGTAAAATACCAAATTATTTAAATGATCACATTCCGGACCGTTAAAAAATTCTAACAAAAAATTAAATAAAAGTTGTTAGTTTTATCTCCAATTTCAGGCTTAATTACAAAGATACATGATAGCAAAAATTGAGAATAAATGATAGCCTCCCTCGACATTTTCGCTACCGAAAAATCGTCTCCAAATAATTCCAGGAATCTATCATTAACTGACGGCAGGTCTGGAACAGTCTGTATTTTGGGAAAATTGATCGGATTAAATTACTCACTGAGTTATATACGGCTTGGTCGCGATCCGTGCGTGGCTGCGCTGATCGAAAGGCTGAAAAAAGAGAGAACCAATCGTTATCGTTGACGGCCTTGACAGTTCATCGATCGCCGCTTATCGTCTACGAAACATGCTACGCATATACTAGGCCGCGGGCTCTATTACAACGCGAGAGATCATCGGATTATCGGAGAATTCGAGAACCGGTGCTCTCGATTGACAATCGTACGAGCAAGACATCGAGCAGATCATGCCGCAGTCGTGTAACGTTAAACCGGGATATAAAGAGATGTAGGCGCGAGGATTAAGCTAATGAGACATCATCCCCGAAGGAATGAGAGATGTAGAAGAAGCGAAAACAAGTGGTACCAAAGTATAAAGTCGGCAAATATATAATACAACAGCCGTTAAGATATGCCAAATATACGAGCAATTCTATGAATCAAATCAATGAAACAAAATTTTGTCATATACTAATTATTTACTTGCAACAAAAACTAAATAACCGACATTGGCACACATTCATCGAGCGATAATTTGCTTTTGCGACTAAAAAAATTTTTCTCATGCCGTGTCGAGTAATACAGGGTATCCCAGACCACCCGTACACCCTTTTTCTTTTAAAAACTGAATATTTTAGAAAAAAAACGTTTTAAATAAAAATTGTACGATTTTGAGGGGAACATAAGATGGTGCCCCATTGATTTAATATTGAAAAGTCATTTAAAAGTCACGTGAAGGTCAACTTCAATTTCTTAAATGGAACTACCTATTTTTTATTACATATTCTTAGGTTATCTCAACAGCTTTCCAAAACTCTGTAATAAAGTATTTTCTCATGAAATACTCTTTGAGTTATAAAAGTTTGAAGCTAACAATTTTTTGACATAAAATGTAATAGTATGATGTGTATCAAGTGCGGAAAGTTGACAATTGGTCACGAGTGCGAGGGATGGACGCACGAGCCGAAGGTGAGTGCAACCACCCCACACGAGTGAACAGTTGTCAACACGCACACAAAGTGCCACTTTGCCTGCACGTGTAATACAAAATATCTTGTAAACTATTCAATTTTCGATAATCATGTTTCAATACTTTTCTACACAGTATAATAAGATCAATCAATTGGTATGAAGAAAACAGATAATTGTTTTAAAAATATGTAATATTCAACATGCGGCAACTATGTGTTTTTTTTACACCAATTGATTGATCTCATTATTCCGTGCAAAAAAAGTATTAAGGTATGATTACTGAAAACTGAATATTTTACGATATTTTTTTTTGACATTTTATGTCAAAAAGTTGTTAGCTTCAAACCTTTATAACTCAAATAATACTCCATGAAAAAATACTTTATTATAGAATTTTGAAAAGTTCTTGAGATAACCTACAAGAATATGTAATGAAAAATAGGTAGTTCCATTTAAGAAATTAAAGTTAACCTTCACATAACCTTCATATAACTTTTCAAGGTCAAATCAATAGCACCATCCCCTTATGTTCTTCTTAAAACCATACAATTTTTGTCTAAAACGTTTTTCTCTAAAATGCTTAAGTTTTTGAAAGAAAAAGGGTGGTCTGGGACACCCTCTATATTACAATATTTTTCTAATCTTTTTTTTTTTTCAAACGAGAAGGTGAAGATAAACAGGCGTATAAAAAATAATACACAAAAGATACACAGAGGCATAACAAAAGAGACAGAACAGAAAGAGAGAACAAAGGAAAGTTGCGGAGCGACAGGCAGATAGAGACAGACAGAGAGGACAACGTCATCGTGCACTCTACTTGTCGACGATGTGGCAGCCGTTCTAACCCGTGAGGCGGCCGACTGCGCGGTTTGCGCGCTGACAACGGAGGGTGTTGTCGGTGATGGTGGTAGCATGATATGATCGGTGCTGGAAAAAGAAGAAGAAGTAGAAGAAGAAGAGAGCGGCGGTCGCTGTTGCGGCTCTTGGTCTTGGTGAGGGTGGCGATGCGATTGATGATGATGATGCTCGTGATGGTGAGGATGATGATGGAAGCTGTAATGAGAACGATGCTGCTGCTGCTGCTGCTGCGGCTGCTGTTGCTGCTGCTGTTGCTGAATGTTGCCGGTCGAGCTCGGCGCGATCGCCGCGATGACGGCTGGAAGAGGCGACACCACGGATCGCTCGATCCCGACCGGGTGCGATCGTCGCGTCGGGCAACGATCCGGCAACACGAAGCTCTTGGATCTCCCGTCCAGGATCATGCCGGCGTGCTGCCAATAGCAGGGATCAGCCGCGCCTGGGCGTTCCAGGGGTCGGATGATGCGACCGACCCCGGGGTCGTCGGCTTGACGATCGTTCGGCCGATCGACCGGCTCGACCGACGGTGTCAGGGACACCGACTGGTCCTGGACTGGAGTCTTGAACCGCTGCGAGCGCGATCTTGAAGAAAGATCGATCGATCGATCGGTCGAGCCACCGTCCATCGGACGCGATCGCCTCATGCTGCCGACGAGCTCGGAGTTTTTCGTGCTGTTGCTGTTGCCGCTGATGATCGCCGGTATCCTTACATTGTCCTCCGGTCGATAGGAGAGGCTAAGGACGCCGGACTTCCGGACGGACTCGTTCCGTAGAGACGCCATCTTGGTCTGCGCGTGCTGAGGACGTCCGTTTTCGTTCAGCCACTATCATCCGAGACCGTATCGTCGTCATCGTCGTCATCGGACAGGAATGGACAGCGGTGTGGGATGACATACGAGCGGTGACACACGAACACGCAAACATGGACGCGCACGCACACACATACACACACAGGTACGATCAGGGACAGGTGATCTTAAACGCCGTACTGTTTTATCGGTAAAACATCATTTTTTACGCACCCTTTTCTCTTTATTGGTTGAATAAATTAAGAAATGCTTTACCACGATTAAAGTACATGTAGAAATAAAGCGCGGACCTACCGATTTTGTTTAAAAATATATTTTTTTAATAAAAAAAATTCAAAATTCTTTTCTGCTCTTAACATAAAATCGGTAAGTTCGCGATTTGTTTCTATATGTACTTTAATCGTGGAAAAGATTTTATTATTTTATTCAACCAATAAAAAAAGGATACGCAAAAATGATGTTTTATCGATAAAATAGGACGGCGTTCAGAATCTTCTTAAGGTGGAAGACGTTAGATGCAATAAAAAGACACACTGTGCGTAAGTAGACACACGAAGAGCACGATGCGTTTTTTTACGTCCCCAATATAATGTTTTGTTGTGAATCTTTCAATTCCATTACATAGATATCGAAAAAAAAATCTGTAATATTTTTCCAACGTCTGGGAAATCCCCGGAGGGGTCGCGTGCAAGGGCATCGATTATCGGAGCGCGACAAGCCACCGTTAGTTATCACGTTTGACGTTAAGCCACGCGAGAAAAATGGATAGTCGTTTTGTTCTTTGCTGGCTGACTTTATAAACGACGTATAAAGATTGAAACACGAATAAGCATCTCGAAATTTAGCGATTTCAACGTGAGTAATATGCGCAATTTTTTCGGAAAAAATTAAAAAAAAAATTATTCTCGCGAGCCTATAGGAAACAACAATATTTTCTTAACCCTTAATTACCTCTCTGAGTTACGTTAACCCATATCAAAAATGATTTTTTCGAAATTTTAGAAGATCACTTTTCATTTTTTCTCAAATATCTCGAGTCGTAGAAATCTGGTGACATTTGTACCAATATATTCTTTTTTCTTACTGTCTGGCGTATCGATTGAAAAAAAATACTTTAAAATAGCTTCATTAGATCCAGAAATATAAACAAAAGAAGACTCTGGGTTACTCTAACCCTTGAGTGGTAAAATAGAGTGGCCAAAAATGAGTGGCAACTGAGGGTTAAGTATGATTCTAATTTTACATTTTCTACGGAGAAGAGAAAAGGAAGAGAGAAAGATTTACGTGGAAACAGGGTGTTCTTTATAAGATTCCTCTATAAAATGAAGCTACCGAGTTAATTCCGAGGTAATGGAAAATGTTAATTTTAATTGAGTCTTACCATCTACATAGGAAAGAGTACCAGAGTGATAAAAAAAAAAGAAAGAGAGAGAGAGGAAGGGTAAAAAGAGGGAACAGAAAGAGTAGGGAGAAGAAGAAAGTTCTCTTATTTAACTACGCATTAATATAAAAATGGCGTACCCCGTCAAATATGTCCATGACCTCGTCCCACCACTAGAATCATAGAATTAAACACGATGTTATGCTATGCATCATCTAAAAAGGTTATCGGAACATTTAGATTCAAATAAAGGGTAATAAAGGGTGTAATCGAACACAGTATATTTGGACTTTCTCGCCATTTTCCATCTAAAATAAAACAAGAAGCTAAACAATCTAGAGCCAATGACACAAATATCAAAGAAATTATATTAAGAATTTTCTTCAAAAAATTTGAAAAAAATTAGCTCATCGTTCTGGATCGATAGATGGAAATCGGCGTATTTCAACATACAGGATCAACTACAAGCAGCGCTACAAAAGCCGTGTTAAAATCAACGGGGTTGTACTACGTGAAACCGTAGAGTGCCTCGAGAAGCAATTCTCATCACACGAGGTATAACGAAAATTTATGTTACTCGTATTATTTTTAATAGCTTCTCTCTATGTTTCTCTCGAGGGACTCTGCGCGCGTGCTTAGTGTGTTTATTTATGCATATGTGTTTATTAAAGAAACGCAACAGCCACCTCGAGGGTGGTGGGAGAGAGAGCGGGAGCTCGCAATCAATTAATTAATTCGTGACAATTAATTAATTCGTGACGCCAACAGAAAAGCTCTCAATAAACGGAGGAAACGTATGAAGAAGAGAAAACAAGATTAGCCGGCAAAAGCAACTCGTTTTAAACTTTCGTTCGATTGGCGGTGATTACCTTCCTTCTCGTCCGCGCGTCGAAAGTCGGCTAGAAGCAAAGCCATTTCAAACGATCATATTCACAGGTTTCAGGTAAACCTTGGGCAAGCTTTTTCGGGCAAATCGCGATCGCGCGCGCGATATGTACAATGTATTATCTCGTTGCGGGAAGAAAATTAAAATAAAAAAAAAAAAAGATTGTGATCCACGCAAATTTTTTGTTCTGTCACAATCGCGCAAAATACGATACGATACAGAGTGATATACTATACGCGTTCAATCAATTTCGCGACGTATAATGACGCTTTGATGGAGGCAATCGAGAGGAATGGATGGCCAATTTTGGGTCCGTACCAATTGATTTTTTTGGCCATGGTTAACTAAACTCTCATATGCACACATATGTGCACAAACAAATATATTTTTTGTATATAAATTTTTAGATAAAAATGTACGTATTTTTATTATATACAGGGTGTTTCTAAATAAATGCGAAAAACTTTGGAGATGAGAGTCTTTGTTGAAAATTAAGGGAAACATATTTCTGAGAAGGGATATATCGTATTTTAGGTGTTGAATTTTTTTCTCAAACTTTGGACAAGTTAAGAAAAGAAATTTGATAAATATATTTTTTATTAATAAAAAGAATATTTATTAATAATGTTAATTTTCCCATATATCATTATAAGGGGATGAAACTAACAACTCCTCTTCAATTTTTTATTAGAAACTTTTTATCGGAATGTGATCATGTAAAAATATGGATTAAAAAGCTTGATTTTTTAAATAAATTTTTTTATTTCTTTTATATTTTGTAAAAATTTTTAGAAAAGTATATGTTTATACGAAACCCCCCTTAATTTTCGACCAAGAATTATCTTTTAAAATTTTTCACATTTAGAAACACCCTGTATATACAATTTTTCTCTTTTATTTGATATATGTATAATATTTTTTATTTCTAATATATTAATTTAATAATCTTTATTTACATTTAAGATAGAAATTCACATGAGCTATTATGTATATAGGATAATATTATCTAAATATTATCCTTGAATTAAATTAGTTAACCTTGGCTATTTCGGGGCGAGAAACGTTCTTGTTGTTGAAAGATTTAATTGTCTCGTCAATCATTACTCTCTTCGGACAAACTAATGATTATCTACACGGTGTCTTATCGAATCTTTCGATGTTACATGGGAAAGTGCGTTTTAATTTAATGGTACAGGCAGGTGAGATTTGTCTAATCTCGAATCGCGAGCGATAAAGTACCTCTTTAGCTTCCTTTTCGGCGATCGACGAGTGCCCTGGTTCATAATCCTCGATACGACCGGGTTGATTTTTATAAATATCCGTCGAGTACTTCAGCGCCCCATTTCTGAAAAAGAAATATAAATTGCTCCGTCGAAAACGTTATTTTTTCACATATAAGAAGATACTTTCATACTTTTCTATCTTCGCGCTTCTCATCTATCAAAGTTTTTCGAGCCAATAAAATCTAATTGAAAGAGATAGGAAGAAATCTCACGCTAAACGAGAGAGGGAATATAAATGATCTCGAGCATCCTCTGGCCGATAAGAGAAAGAAAACAAGCGGACAACCAAGTTTCCTAAATTCTCCCTTACTTTCTGGGCATAGTCGCCGTGGTGAAGTCATTTTCTTTGTTGCGCAGCCGTCGACGGCTATCGAGAGTGACGGATCGATCCGAGTATGCGCGCGGTTCCGGTTCGCTCAAATATCCGCTGCCGCTTCCGTATCCATATCTGCCTCCTGAAACAAGGATGTTTCGCTTTTTTGCATTCTGTTCTCAGAATCGAAGCTCTACGTTTAGTTCTAGCAAAAAAAAAAAAAAAAAAAAAATATCCACCGCTAACCAAATAACATTCAATTAACAGCGCAAACAATTCGACGCTCGCCTTGGTTTAGTTTCTACGATGTTATGAAAATATCGTGTTACATAACTCAAACACACTCCTGTGAAATACTGCGTTATATGGTTATCATTACTATTATTTAAAAATAAATGCTCGAGCTCATCGATATTCAGATTAAAACGCGTAATCTCGAAGTGCGCAATTAAAGTTTAATTAAAAAGTTTTTCTTCTTCCCTTGGGATTAAATTCTTGTCGTGAAAGAATCGACCGCGAAACAATCTTAGGACGAAGTTCCAGGAAAGATCGGGAACGTGAGAATTTCAAATCAACTCGAAAAGTTTCCTCGCGATAGCGAAGAAGTCGCGCCAATTCCGGAAGTTATTCCGATTTGGCTTAATCTATTCCACGAGAGCTCGTACTCGAGAGAGAGAGAGAAATTCTCTATTTCTCGTGCACGTTTCGATAGTATCGAGTGTCTACGCGAGCCAAGAGAATCTCCCGAGTTTCAAACAAATTAACAAGATAACAACGTTGATCGATTAAGTAACAAAATATTCTTCGTATCTAGCTTCAAAAAGGAGAAAGAAAACAAGTATTAATTATTAGCAGAACGTTAGGTAAAAACTCACAAAATATAACCCAGGTAGCAAGCACACGTTATTTTAACATCGAATGACGTCATTTTGATATGTTTAATGACGTCAGTTTGACATTTAATGACGCCAGTTTGCTACTTGGAAATGAATTCGCATATATTTGTCGCAAATTGTTTATTATAATATTAATTAGAGCAGAATATTAGATAAAGAGTCACAAGATATAACTCAGATAGCAGGCACACGTCATTTTGACGTCTACGACGTCATTTTGACGTTTAATGACGTCAGTTTGCTACTGGGGAATGAATTCATATATACTTGTCGCAAATTGTTTATTATATAACATTTTGACGTCAAATGATGTTATTAAATGTCAAAATGACGTCATTTCGACGTCCAATTACATTGGTTTGCTACTTGGGTATTAATTAGAGCAAAATGTAAGGTTAAAAGTGACAAAATATAACCCAGATAGTAGGCATACGTCATTTTGAGATGGAATAATGTTAGACGTCAAAATGACGTCACTTTACGTGACGTTTAATGACGTCAGTTTCCTACTGGGGAATGAATTCATATATACTTGTCGCAAACTGTTTATTATATAACATCCAGATAGCAAGCATACGTCATTTTGACGTCAAATGATGTTATTAAATGTCAAAATGACGTCATTTCGACATCCAATTACATCGGTTTGCTACTTGGGTATTAATTAGAGCAGAATGTTAAAAGTCACAAAATATAACCCAGGTAGTAGGCGGCATACGTCATTTTGACATTGAATAATGTCAGACGTCAAAATGACGTCACTTTACGTGACGTTTAATGACGTCAGTTTGCTACTTAGGAATTATTCGTACAGACTCGTGGCAAATTATTTAATTATAATATTATTTTCACGTTAGTGTCTAGAGCAGGAGCAATCGTTATTCTGCGTTACGTAAAAAACGTCTGGATGGCCGTTAGATTTATTTTATTTAGTTTACAAAAATAGTGACCTCTTTCTCTCGCGATATTTTATTTCACAAGCCTGCTCTCTCGCTCGATGCATATTTTATTTTACAGATATTAGTCGCGCTACGTTGCTATACAGATTTTGCAGCGTACAGACTACTGCGTTTACGCAGCCAGCCCACGCGCAGTGTAATATTAGTAGCGATGTCGCAATTCGCGAGGTAAACAGTCATGCGCAGGGAAGTGCATATTCACCTCTTCTCGATTTGTATTTTATGGTCACGTAGTCATCTGGAAAACACGAAATCGCAAATAGGATTACATATGGATCAACTGACCGATTGTTTTTGCGTTTCTCGCGTAGAAAAACATTTTAATATTCAAAAGCGCGGCGCGCATTATTTATTTAAACGAGATTAAATTCTCCCCGTCTTTGTCCCGGAAAAATAATAATATTAATGACACTATTATAACTCACGTTGTGTACACGCGTGTGGCGCAATAAAGAGATACGCTCGTTTAATTTTTCCCGTATCAAATCTCTGTATGCAACGCTCGTAATTACACGCGATGAGCGAAACTTACCGTTTTTATCCGCACGATGTAACGAGTCGTACATTCTCTTGTACCATTTCGCTTGATTATTCTCCTTGACTTCCTAAAAATAATTCGTCGAGAGTACTGAGAAAAGTGGATATCTCTCTTTCTCCTTTGTAACGCAATATATGATTTTAATTGCGATATAAATCATTTCTCTTCCCACGAGACGATCTTTTACTACTTGTCAAGCATGGAGAATGTATGTATATCGTTGATATAATTTTTTCGAAAATTCTTATTTATCGACCTACCGATCTCAACACGAGAGGGATACCCTCCCTAGTCACCGGGCCGATCCCCTCGAATTTTCGAGGGCCCAGATCGGCCATCTTCTTCGGCGGTTCATTCTCCGTTTCCGGCTCGCTCTCGTACTCTTTCTTCACGGTGTAGACTGAGCGATTCAATTTCACAAGAAATCATTAGCACTCGCGAACGCAATCGGAGGACAGGTAGAACACGTATATATGTTTGTTAAACGATTATTTATCACAGCTAATTAGCGGGAGTTAGCCTGATAAGGAGTGGAAACTGGATTTTCCGAAAATTAATGTGCATATAAAAATTATTTTTTCTTTCTTTTCAGTTACTGAGTCAACTGAAAACCTTAAATATCTTATAATTTAGTGAATATAACAAGTTTGCACTTTTATATCGTTTTTTAAAGTGTTCCAGTACTTTGGAAGTACAGAAAAAATATTTTTATACAAAGTGCTATAAAAGTACCGAAACAGCAGAATAACTCGAAAAATATGAGTTCTAGAAAAAACCCAGTACTTAACATTTTTTCTAGGACTCATATTTTATAATATATTTTATAACGGTACTTTTATTTCCCTGTATATGCAGAATGTAGAAAGAAAAAAGTTCTATTTATCAGACCTGAGACTCGCTTCCCATCATCTTTCTGAGTGTCTTCTACATCTGCTAGATCTTGTCGTTGGTGATTTTCACGTCTTTGAATCACTTAAATGGAAGACAAGTCTCGGAGGATCGATTCAGAAAAAGTAAAAATAACAAAAATGAGCGAATTTGGACCAATGAAATTATAAATTTCCTATTAAATTCGCTCATTTCTGTAATTTTCATCCAGTTATATTGTTATATAATGCAGAATCAACCCGTAAAATAAAAAAATTTTCTAGAGATATCCATGCACTTCCAAAGTGTTGAAACACTTATATCGCACTTTATGGAAAATACATGAAAAAAATGATGTAAGTGTATACCTTTTATACTCAATGAATTACAAGATGCAAAATATTTAAGGTTTTTAGTTCGCTCTTTCACCTATTCTTAGTATTAAATTTTAATACTAAGAATTACCACACTGTCTAATTATTCAACACGCGGTTTAATCAAAGTACTTACTTATTTCTCCCGGCGAAATTAATGGTCTTTCGTCGCTAGAAGGGCGATTATCCACGGAATCGTTCTCCTCCAAGTAAGCCGCGCCCTTCGGCAATTGTCCTTCTGTAATAAAATTGTGGTGACGTTACAATAGATTTATAACGATCCTCCCAGAGAAAGAAGGAATTATGTTCCCTCAATTTATCAAAATTTTCATTTCTTTCTCTCTCTCTCTCTTTCTTGGAAATTTCTCCTTCAAGGAAAAGGGTCTGAGAGATTTAGCGTGAGAATCGCTGACCTCTCGCTTTCTGCAGCAACGTGATGGTCGGATTCTGGGCACGTGGCAAACGCGGCGTGGACGCGAGCGCGTTCAATCCCTGGGACGGCGCCGAGTGCGAATTCACGATCCGCGAGGTGCTGCTGCTCTCGTAAACGCTGCGCGAGCTCGCCGTCCTCTTCTCCTCCTCGTTCTGCCAAGGCGGAGGCGCCTCCTGGAACAGGAACTTTGCGTAAGAGTCGCCGCATCTTCCTGAACCAACTTAACTCTGCTTCCCCAATAGCGCACCATATCTGAAAGACATTCTGAGGATATCCAGAGGACATTCGAACATTCTCAGGATATTCTCTGAACGTCTTCGGGATATAGGTCTGTTCGTTTTGGTTACACTGGCTACACTAGTTCAGAGGTTATCTCTTTTGCTCGACATTGGAAGGAAAAAGATAACCTCTGAACTAGTGTAGCCAGTGTAGCCACAACCAACAGACCTTATGTGTGCTGTTAGCAGAAGTCATGAAGTTGGTTCCGAATAATTTGTGAAAATTAGTACAATACTTTTTTTATATTAAAAAATACTTTTTTCTTTCAATTCAAAGAAAGGAAAAACCTGGAAGCGTTCGAAATGTGGGGTTACAGATAGGGTCAGCAATAGGGAAGTATTAAGAAAGAAGGAACGCGAGGGAAGGAATACATGGAATGCGATAAAAAATAGGAGGCATAGGTTAATAGGACACTTGTTGAGACACAAAGGATTAGTGACATATTAGAAGCAGAGATAGGAATAAAGAGAGTGCAGGAGTAGATCCAGGATCGCAAACCCGAGTTTCGCGCGTTTAAATAAAATTGTGGATGCTGACCATGACTGTTTTACTGACTTTGAGTTCAAGAGCTTTTCTTTTTATTGGCTGTACAGATTGAAAAATCCTTCTCCACAATTAAAGTACTGATAATAATAAACGCTGTAATTTTGTATAAAAAAACAATAAAAGTTAAAAAATTGGTTTTTTATCGGCCTCTTGCATCAGCTCATAACAAATAGTTATTTAATACAAAAGTTCTTATTTGTGCACAAAATATGGCGCTCCCAATAAAGATGACATGAAAGAATAATACGGAAGTAATAAAAATGAGATTAAAAGCCTGCATCAAAAGATTCGTACTTGAATTAATTATGTATGTATATTTGCGTGTGGAATCGCTATCGAGACATAAAACAGCAAAAAATTAGTTGCCGGACAACGCTCCTCATTCATTATTATCAGTACTTTTATTGTGATTTTTCAATCTGTATATTCAATAAAAAAGTGAACCAAACCTAACTTAAAGTCGGTAAAACAGAACAACGGCAGCATCCCCTTAAAGAATGCAATAAAAAAATAGAAGAAATAGGATGGTTAATAGAACGCAAAGAATTAGTAATATATTAGAAGCAGAGATAGGAATAAGGAGAGGCAGGAGATCCAAACTAGGTTATAGTCAAAACCCCCTTTAGGGAGATGCATTAAGCCCAGGATAGGAAAGGATGAAGAGTTCTCGGACCGAGGACTTCATAATAATGATGATGATGATGAGGATGATGCCTTCGTTTATCCTAACGTTATCCAGATTGAATTCCAGCATTTTTAATGCTGTGACTAAGCAAGCCCGGATTTCGAGCACTCAAATAGGAACCGTACCTCTTCTTTTGGTTGCCTCTTCCGGCTCAACACGGGACTTTCGAACGGCACGGGACGAAATTCCTTCCTCTCGGCGACGGGGCTCGCGCCGGCGCTGGCCGGGGTCCAGACCGGCGGAATCGGCTCGTTCTTCGATGGTTCCTTGGTCCGAATGGGGCTGGGTTCCTTCCCAACTGGCGTTTGTCCTGGCGACCAAACGCCTGGCAACCAGAATTTCGAATACTTGAGAAAAAACGATTTTGGATACGATGAGGCAGGTTGTTAATTAGCACTCGGGTTATCGTCAAACTTGATTACAAACTTGATCTCCAAAAAAAGGGACCAGACTGATTTATTCCTCGCTACAAATTAACTCTTCGTTAATCGTTTTTTTTTTTTTTTAATATCCATTAAGAAAATGCTGAAATATTATTTTCATTTAACTATTTATTGGCTATACAGAAAAATTCTCAAGTAGAATTAAAATAACAAATGGACTACGTATATATATATATATTAAAAAGCGGTCAATCGATAAGAAAACTGTAATTATTTAACTTTCTTGGTTTTTTTATATACCACATAGTAGCCCATTGTTATTATGAATACTTTAAATCTGGAAAGAATTTTTCATTCTGTATAAATAATTAAATAAAAATAATAAAACAGCATCCCCTTAATCCAGATCCAGGATCTAAATGAACAAAAATTTTATTTCAAAGGAAGCAAGTTCGCCGAAAGGTCTTTGCTCCTGAAGCAGATGGTGCCGCGTGGATTTGGTAGATTGGCGCTAAAGCTAACATATGAAATGTATATCGTCGCGATGTTAATTTTGGCACATGGAGAAGAGGGAGGCGCATTACATAAGGGATCATCATCTTTTTCCCCTGTCGTTTCCCGCATTTTGCTACATCACTATAATCTATTAGTGGTTCAAAACTGAAACGGTTTAAAAACTGTCCTCTGACGTAGATGATTTATTAAGCTTCTCGCTCGATGTTTGTGTTAATTTGTCCCGCATATTTATAGGATCTACAAACAAAATTAAATCGCCCGTATATCAAGTATTTATCAAGACGATGCTTAGCTCGTTTTTCTTCCCCGTATTATTATATTATTATTTCATAATAGCTTATGAAATAATACCTAATATATAATGTCGCGTGTATATAAAAATACATTTCATCATAAGAAAGAAATCTATGTCACAACGTAGACGATCATAAATGGAGTTATTGGCGGTCATCATATTATATCGCTGTCCTCGTCGAATGTCAGAGATGGGGGAGACAGCATCAGCCCGATAAAGACACTCGAGGGCTGTCGGCGATGAGTCAGCCAGCTTACGCTCGTCGGATTGAACTTGTCGGCCAATTTGCGCCGAGTCTCTCTCTCTCTCTCTTTCGCGCGACAGCGCGAGGAAATCAGGAGCAGCGGCTTCATTCGGGACGCGGATAAAATTAGAAACTCGCGTGGGCGTCCTGGGGCATTATAAGACACGCATAATTACAATTGGCCGGGAGAATAAACACGTGGAACACACAATGCCCGCGATTTTCTGGAGCGACACGCATTCTGCGCACGACACGTCAGAGTGTCGGAGTGTTACGTGCGAAGATCCGAGATCTTATATATATGTATGTTAAAAACAGTGTTTTGCTTAGATAATTTTAAGAGTAGCCAGATAAAGATGACATGAAAATATATAAATTCATCTTACGTAAAATAAAGATAATTTCTTAAATATGTATATCTATAGAAAGAGAAAATTATGGCGATTCATCTAGATAATTTGCAGATAATATTATTTGTAATATCGCTCATGTAAACGCAGTTATAAAAAAAAATATGAATTATAAAAGGGATATGAAAATATATTTAGATTTTTATTTGTAAATTTTTATCGCTTACGTTTTTATGGCTTAAGTTTTACTACTTAATAAAAATACTTGAGTATTTTTAAGTATATGTTACAACTCGAAACCAAATTATCTAAACATTATTCTAGATAATTTAATAAAGATAACTTTTTTCATCTAAGATACAAATATAGATTTTTAATACATTTATCTATATAAAGATAAGAGGACGCTAAAATTTCATCTAGATAATCATCTATATAATTTTATTTAGATAATAGCAAACACTGTTTAAAAACAACACGAGAAAAATAGAGATCGACGCAGTGTAAACAAAATACAGTTCTCTCGGCGACTGATTTAGAAATATCGCAATTTTTTGTTTTTCCCGATTAGAGAAGAGATACGAAAATCAATGTTATACATAATTTACATCATAATTTGCAATAATAAATTTTCGCTAATTGCGTCAATCAATCGCGCTGTCGCGACACTAGCTGGCCGAAACGTCAAAAACATCATTTTTGGAAACGTGTGTTATTTGTAACTGACAACCGTGAAAATTAGTTGAAACATCAATTTCATGAGAATAACATCTCCCAAAATTTTCACGCACACGCACTTTCTGGTCTTATTTGGGAAAATTACAGAACGAGATTACACATGCACGCATATATACGTCACACAAGAACTTAATTACCATCCCGTCGTTAAGAACACACGTGGCTTCTCACATACACACACACACACACGCACAATGCGACTACACCCTACACGTAATTAATTTTGTTACACCTTCTAGAGGGGTTTGTTAACGTAATGGAGAGGCACACTTTTAATAGCAGTCATTTTTCACATTTTATTGTCTTCATCATTCATTTACGAATTTCCAGCTTAATATTTAATTAAAAAGTCAAATTAGTCATTATTATACATTAATTAATTAACATTTTATGGAAATATTAGTACCGGGATCGTAAACAGATATTTTGACAGAGAGCCATCTCGAAACAATAAATAATAAATTAAATATCAATTAATAAAATTAAAATTAAATATTCTCGGTCGGTTATGGAAAAAATATTTAATGCCTAACGACAACGAAAATACACACGTTAGTTTCACACATTCCTCGCGCAGGTTTACCTGGTTTCGCTGACGAGGCTTTAAACGTAGGCGCAAACATAACGTTCTCTGAAAGCATGAAACGACATTTTGTCAAACAACGTGTATTTCGGATTTTCGTCGTTTCAAAGGTTTGCACTCTTCTCTATCTGTATAACGCGACATTTCTCTTTTTTTCTTTTCCCTAGTGTCCAGTATAATTTCTTTTACAATTTTTCTGCAGGGTTAATTCGCGCGTTTGTGAAGAGGAATCCATTTTTTTCGAGATTTATATCTAGTTTGGCTTTCAATGCGAAATATCCTGATGATTATCGAGTCAACGTCAACATTGCTTACATCACAAGCCGCATTCACATAGAAAAGCTCTTCAAAGTTACTTTCACGATGAGACCGTCGCGTTCATTAATATAAAACCGATCTTGAAGAACCGCCGCGAAACGAAGGACAAAGCGAAGAAGATTGCCTTATTTATTCGTAAACTAAACTATCAACAGCACACTAGATACCTTTCATGAATTGATCAAAGTTAATTTATAAATAGAATATTTTATGCAATCTCTACAAGTCTTCTTAAAACTGAATTAATTTTATTTTACAAAATTTATTCGTTTCGACCCCAACTAAATATTCCTCGTATGTTTTTTTATCTTAAATTTCTTCCCCAATTAGGAGAACAACAATCTGATTAAACGCAATTGCGACTCTCTTCGCGGGAAGAACTTAATTTATAAATCGGATTTTATTCAATCTCTACCTTCTTTCAGCATCTTAAAATTCAATTAATTTTATTTTACACAGCAACGATTTATTTGTTTCTATCCCAACTAAATATTCCTCGTACGTTTTCCCTGAAATTTCCTCCCAAATTTGGAAAACAACAATCTGATTGAACGCGATTGCGTTCCAACTCTCTTCGCGGAAGGAACTTAATTTATAAATCGGATTTTATCAATCTTTTTAAAACTGAATTCATTTTATTTTACACAGCAAAAAAAAACAGCAAAGATTTATTCCTTTCTACCCCAACTAAATATTCCTCGTATGTTTTCCCTGAAATTTCTTCCCCAATTTGGAGAACAACAATCTGATTGAACGCGACTCTCTTCGCGGGAGAAACTTAATTTATAAATCGGATTTTATCAATCTTTTTAAAACTGAATTCATTTTATTTTACGCACAGCAAAAAAATAGCAAAGATTTATTCGTTTCTACCCCAACTAAATATTCCTCGCATGTTTTCCCTGAAATTTCCTCCCCAATTTGAAGAACAACAATCTGATTGGACGCGATTGCCTTCCGACTTTCTTCGCGGGAGGAACAACCTGTTGAAGAAATTCACGAGCATCTTATCGCGGTCCTCTTATCCTCCCTCTTATCGCACTCTCTCTCTGGCCCTCAACAAGGTCTCATCGACCTTTCCGAAACGATCACTCACTTTTCTCCAACATTGTCACTTTGCACAAGCACGGTGAGACGACGCGACGTCGCGTATTTTCGAGGAGAAACAGCCCTCTCGGCGAGGTAGCACGGTAGTAGGTGCCAATCGACTGAGAGAAGCGTCGCGACGCCGACGAGGCTCGACGCCGCGCCGCTCACTACGCCGACGTCGACGTCGCCCGAAAGCTGGTGTATACAGTGTAATTTCGAGTCCGCGCCAACCAGGGGTTATATACATATATATGAATGTGTACGCGCGTTTGAACGATGAATGCGATTTCCATTTTTCTCGGTTTTTATGTATGATTTTTATATTTATGTAATTATATAAATATTCTGTATTTATGTTAGTATTATACTTATATTTTATATAATTATATATATAATTTTTATATTTATATAATTATACATCTATTCTCTATATATATTTATATAATTTTATATGTAATTTTTCTATATTTAAATATAATTATATAATTGTACACTTATACATTTATATATATTTATATAATTATTTACATATATATATATATATATATATATATATATATATATAGGATGTTTCTAAATAAATACGAAAAATTTTAGAAAATAATTTTGTCAAAAATTAAAGAAAATTGCTCATAAATGTGTACTCCTATATCCTATAAGGAGCTACACTTCTCCAAAGGGAAATTTAAAAATTACGTTTTAAAACTATTAAGTTTACGGAAAAAATAAAAGAAATAAAAAAATGTCTAAAAGAATGATGCTTTCTGACGCATAATTTTAAATGATCACATTCTGGTCCATTAAAAAATTCTAATAAAAAGAACATTGTATAGGGGTTATTAAAAATTTTAATAAATATACTCTTTTACTAGTAGAAAATATCTACCAAATTTTTTAAATAATCACATTACAGTCTGTTAAAAATTATAATAAAAAAATTGAATTGAAGTTGTTAGTTTCATCCCCTTACAACGATATGGAAAGATTAGAAACATATTAATACTTAAATATCCTTTCGAATCTATTAGTGGAAAATATCCACCAAATTTCATTTTTTTAACTTGTCTAAAATTCGAGGAAAAATTAAAAACTTAATTTTCACCTCCCCCTTTAGAAAAGTATAATTCCTCAGAGAGGGAATATAAGGAAAAGTATAATTTATATAAAAACGCCCCTTAATTTTCGATAAAGAATCATTTCCTAAAATTTTTCGCACTTATTCAGAAACATCTTGTATATATCTATATATTTTATATGTATGTTATATTTATATAATTTTTTTCAATTTATCACAATAAATAAAAGACATCTAAAATACTTTCAGTCCCTCTTGGTATTAATTTTCTTCATCGTTTAAAAGTAATCCTTTTCGTTGCAGAGTATGTACACGATGATTATTTAGTTCTTGGGAAAAAATATACATGTATAACGCATGCATGCTATCAGATGAAGCGAAATTGCAAACGCACCTTGCCCAAGTAGAAATCCCCTGCTGATTCTCAAAGCTTTGTCAATCTCGTGCAGCAGACAGTCGTTGTCAGTGTTCCTTGCCTTCGCAACGCAGCCATTCCCTTTGATTAAAAAAGCATGCCCACATCCACCAAAAAGAGAACAAAAAAAGAAGAAAAGAAAGTTTTACGATAAATTAATCCCTTGAGCGGAGGACGCATTTATAAGTTTGTTAGAGCGAGCGGAACAAATCTCTCTGTCGCTCGAATATTCGTCATTCGCTTTGTAATAAAACAAGAAAAGGTGAGAGAGGGATGAATACATCGATCGGCGTCTCCGAGAATAAAAAAATGCCCTCGTGACCATAGACGAATGCCTAAATTCGCACGTTTAGCTCCGACGGGACGCGCGCGCTAAAATTAGAATAGAAAATAAACGAACGCTTCGGTAACCGCGTTGAAAGGTTCACTAGACTTACGAAATACAAATAACATGCAGTCAGTTAATAATAATAGGCGAGCGAGCTGGCAATATGTCAATGAAAGTTAACATTGTTGCATGTCGAGGACAGGTGACTTTTATCGAATATCGATTTTATTGTGTATATCTAATATATGTATAGCCCATACATATATATATGTTGTTAATCGACGTGGAAATATTTGAACAAGACATGCACTCGTGCCGCATTGTAATTTGTTTACATGTATTAGTATATTTACCATCAGAGTGAACAGAGAAAAATTGAAAGAGCGAACGTGCAATATTATATTATATCATGCTACATCATAACAGAGTAAAAACAATCACTTGTAGATGAAACATGAAGACAGTCGATTTCATTAGACACCGAAATCGGTGGGAGGATCCAGTTGATTTGACGTTTTGACTTAAATACAATTTTTTTAATCAAATCAAAATCGTTCCCCCGTTCTACGATTTCATTAACAAGAGCTCGAATCGAGCGCGACACTTACATAGAGGTCTACTTCGCATATAAAGAGAAAACGAGCGGGCCAGTAGGCCAACGTCGCGCGAGTGATTCAAAATAGCCGAAAAAACGCAAGGCGGTGGTTCTCCTCCCGAAACGCGAGTGGCCTATTTCTCGTCTCCGCGCGCGGAGGCTCTTATATTTAGATTCTCATGAATCACGTGCGATGTCGCGCCGGACGCGAATCGCGATCCGCCACTTTTCCGCCACGAGATATTCGTTTCGGGTCGAAATAAACGTCTAGAAAACGTGAAAAGTTGAATAAAAAAAAAGAGGAACAAACCACTGGATTTACTAGGGTGAGTCAAAACCTTGGATATTTTATATCTCGTAATTTGTTAAATATGAAAATATACATACAAGTGTTTTATTTCGGAAATGCGTGGATACGTGTGGAAAAAAAGACTCACTTCGTCAGACCTGAAACTCGCATCCAGTCACCTCTTTGAGTGTCTCCCATATCCGCCAGAACTTGTCTTCGCGTCTTCAGATCACTCAAAAATGAGAGACAAGTTTCAATCGATTCTGAAAATGTGAAAATTACGAAAACGAGCGAATTTGCTAAGTTTGGATCAATAAAATTATAAATTATAAATAATAAAAAAAATTTGATTATTTTGAATAAATTGTTGCCAGTGTGTCAAGTTATTATTATTTTTATTGAATTTATTCCTGGCGATATAATTATATTGATTTGAAAATTAAAAATTTCCTATTAAATTCGCTCATTTATATAATTTTCATCCAGTTGTCTAATACAGAATCGATCTCCAAGTCCGACGAAGAGATAATGCATTAACGTTTTTTATTTTTAAAATATTCTTTTTCTTAATAAAATAAAAATCGTTAATTGTCAAAAGGAAAAACATAATATTGCAATATCGAAGCTTACACTCTTAGCTTTAAAAAACATTTTTTTCTAGAAGTATCCATGCATTCCTAAAGCACTGAAACACTTGTATTGCACACTATAGAGACTAAGGTTCAGAGTTTATCACTTTTACTCCACATTCAGTGTTGTGCTTAGATGATTTTAAAATTAGATAAGGATGAAATAAAAATAGGCAAATTTATCTTAGATAAGATGAAGATAATTTTGCTTTAAATATCTCTAGATAAAAGATATAAATTATATATGGCGATTCATCTAGATAATTTTCAGATAATATTATTTTTTAAGATCGCTTATGCAAAACACAGTTATAAAAAAATGTAAATTATAAAAGATATATATAAAAATATATTCATATTTTTATCGCTTACTGCTTCAGTCTTATTACTTGAGTATTTGCATGTGCTATGACTCTAAACCAAATTATCTGACTATTATTCTAGATAATTTAGAATAAAGATAACACTTTCTCTCATCTAAGATCCAGCTACAGATAATACACATTTTTATTATTTGTAAATAAAGTCAAAAAATTTCATCTAGATGATCATCTATATAATTTTATTTCAATAACAGCAAACACTGTCCACATTGAAAGAGAAGAGAAAAACTCTAAACTATTGCAGTCAGTTCAGCCGAAAAGAACAGACCTTATATAGAAAAATGATGTACCTTTCGTATTCAATAAAATTACGAGATAAAAATGATTTGAGGTTTCCGCAATCGGCTCACCTATGTAATAATAACGCGACGTGCGTGATCAAGTATTATTCCGCGGCTAATCGAAACGCTCGAGAGAATCGAGACGTAAGCGACATGCGACGCAATTTGATAGCCTCTGAGCCACCCCGCTGATATCTGTTATCGCGGTTCATTATCCGCGGATTGAACAACACGACGGTCCGGATCCAGCCGAAGCTCGAATGTTAATGCAATAATTTTCCATCGCGTCGCTTTGATGAATCGATTTCGGGGTTTCAGAATGAATGCCGAAATATACACACACACACACACACACATATATATATATATATATGAGAGTGTCGATCGTGTTGGATTTACGTCATGGAATATTAAATCCCGCTTTGCGCCGCGAACCGCGCGGATGGACGGATAGCCGATGATGAAAAATAGCGCGTAAATACGTATTTATTAATGTCGTGTTGAAGCCGCGTGTCCCGATACAACGCTTTATTTATTATTTACACAAGAGCGATTATCGATTGACGGGGACGAGATATTAATCGGATTTATTCGGGGAAGCCCGAGGCGCGATTTGAATGCTATGCGCGAGATACCCACGAACCGCCATACCCGAATATAGAGGATTCGCGATGCTCGACGCGCTGCCGCTTTATCGTCGAGAACTAATTTCGCCTTCCGAGAGTTGTCTGAGAAAACGTATTTACGGTAATGAGATTTCCGTTTTCGACGTTACCGCTCGTCTTCCTTATTGAGGAAGTTTGTCTAAAACGACGAGGATTCGTCTAGGACGAGAGAGAATTCCTGATTCTCGATAAATCTTTATGCTTTTAGGTTAGAATCATTCTACAATAGGTTGCAAATTAATTTATCAGCTGACAAGTTGCTTTGCTCTGATTCATCAGGCCGCAATTGTCAACTAATATGGAGGCCTTTGCACGCACACAATTGTGAGAAATATCCCTTAATTAAAAAGACGAGAATTTTAAAAGATTTAAATTCGATATTGTTACAAATTTTTTTAATTAGGCTAATCCTGCAAATTTGAAAACAAATTAATCGAAAACTAATTATCTTCTTTGTTCAACAATCTCTTCGCAAATTGCGGATTGACCAATCAGCTGACAAGTTACTTTACTCTGATTGATTAATCAACCAACTACCAACTAATAATGGGGTATTTTCAATCAATTGTAAAATACCCTTTAATTAGGATCATTTCACAACAGGTTGCAAATATCCCGGTTGCCAGTTGACAGTTGCAAATTTGTTTATTCAGATAGACTCTTAGAGTCAGGATACTTTGTATATTTTACAACTTTGGTTTTATTTTTGAATTTGCACAAAAATCGGAAACAAATTACTATCCCCTTTGCTCGACGGATCTTCGCGTAGTTTCGACCCCGCAGGCGGACAGATAGAGAGAATTAGCATAATACCATCAACATCGTTAGTGACGACAAACACTAAGGCATCTACGAACGTCGAGGCAAGATGCGCGCGTTACCAGTTAGTTGGTTGGTTACAAAAGGGGAGACGTCATCTCCTCGGCACGACGGACTTCCGTTTCCCCGGCGCTCGGGACGGGTCATCACTCTCTGAGCAGCCATCAATCCATCATCATCATCATCCACCAATCATATCTCGCAACACGACGAGCAACACAGCAAAATCCATTGTCCATTCCATTCGCCGTAACTCACTCACCGGCCGCGTCATCCCCGGACATGGTGGAGATCTTCAGGAACTCCCGCAGGTGCTTCGGCAGCTTGCCGGACGCGTCCCGCAGCTCCTTGCCGTCGATCAGGAATCTCGCGTTAATCACGTCCCCGACCTCGCAATCCTCCTCCTCCTTCTTCGCCTCTTCAGGATCCACCTCGTCCAGATCGATCCCATACTTGTTCAACCTCTTCCGCGCCTTCTCGATAAACTCCTTCGCCATCGCGCTCATATCCCCGTCATCAGCCTTGCGCCAGTCCTCGTGCGAGCTGATCTTCAAGACCTTGTGGCTCTTCCGTTCCTGCCGCTCCAGCACCTTGTCCACGTACTCGTCGTACATCCGCTGGCGAAACGCTTCCCCGTTCGTCGGCAACGTCGTCGACCTCCTGGTCTCGCGCGACCGAGTGGTCTCCTTTTCATTACTCGACTGTTTTCGTGGATGATCCTCCGTCGTCCCGTTACCAATTGGAATTTCGCAATTGAAGCCACTCTTCTTCCTCTCGGTTCTTCCTTCCTCGGCGGACGAGGAAGTTTTCCGCAGGTGCGTCTGAAATTCCTCGAAAGCCTTTCTCTCCTCCTCCTCCGCCAGGAGAACGTTCTTCAGCTGCTCTTCCAGCAACTCGATGTACCTGAGCCGCTGGACGAAGTACTCCTGCGGCAGGGAGTTTTTCCTGTCGCCGTCGAGTCGCCGCGACGTCTCCGTCTGCAGATTCTTCAGCTTCTCCACGATCTCCACCGCGGCCACCTGCTTCAGCTTGTCGGTCTCCTGGCGCGAGGGTCTTCGCGATGGCTCGAGGTAGCACCTCGGCGGGTTTCGGTCGAAGATGCTCGTCGTGTCGATGCAGGATCTGTCAACGGTCACCGCGCGCTTCGGCAACGGCGGAACCTCCAATCTGTCATCGATCAGGGCCGGGTTCACGTGTCTGCTGGGATCGGTCGTTCTTCGAAGAGGCGGCGTCCTCTTCCCGACGACGTCGCCGCTTCTCGATCTCTCCGAATCGCGAACTGTCGCGACGCCGTTCGTTCCGATGCTAAATCGCGATGTCGTAATCCTAAGCTGATGATCGGTCACGTGACCGCTCTTATCGTCGCCGTCCTCGCCCCTCCTCGTCGCCGCCGGGAATGGCTCGTTGGCGCTTCGGTTATCGGTGACCTTGAGACTTCCCCGACCTGCCGAAGAACCCAAAGCGTCGTTCCCGGTCGTCGTTTTCGTTTCTCCGTTTCGTTCCTCTTTGATGATCTCCAAGAGCCTACAGCTCGAGCTCTCCGTCGTGGTATCTCGAGCAGACGGGGCTTTCAAGGTCGTCGTGTCGTCGTCTTTCCGAATCTGCACTCGATATCGCGGCACGGACACGCATCGGGGTTGATCCTCTCGATAGCTGTAGCGATTCAGGAACTTGCGGTGAAGATCCAACAAGGTGTCCGCGCTGGCGCGCACCCTCGAGGCCTGCTGCGACGGCGACAGGCACACCAGGAGTCTGGGATCCTGGGTGGTGGACAGTGCCCGCCATCGTTCCTCCATCCCGCCGTCCGCGGACTCTGACAACTCAATATTAACCCTAGCCCGGTCTGAAACAACGTTTACAGTGTCGTTAGGCCGAGGCGGCGGCTCGCTCCCGTCCTGGGTTTTCGTTAGTTCGCGTCGTCGAGCATCACTCACTCCATGCAACGCTTTCGGCACGTCGTTCACAAACCTCTGCAGAGTCCGTAGACTCTCGAAGATGTTCAGCCTGGGCGCGGTGATCTCGTCGATCATCTGCGAGCCGAAGGGCATCGATAAGATTCTCCTCACGCAGAGCTCCCGAAGGGACGACGGTCGCTTCGAGACTTCTTCTTCTTCGTCAACGTCCCGAGAGACTTCCTCGTTCAGCGATTCCGCCGACGTTTCATTAGCGCTCTTCAGCAACGTCAGCTTTCGCTTCAAAGAGGAGTCTTCCGAGTTATTCTCCGTCGTTTCGCGAACGAGGTCGGTCAACGAGCGATGCTTCACGGTGTTCAAGGACGCGGTGCTACTGGAAGAGTCGTGTCCTTGAACGTCGAATCCCTCGGGCGAGGGATTTTCGCTCGCCTCGTCGTCGTCGAACGATAAATTCCTAACGTTGCTAAGCCGAGACGCCGAGCTGCGCGTCTCCTCCTCCTCTTCGTGCTTCTCTTCGTGCCTCTCCTCCTCCCACGTCGAATACTTGAAATCGCGCTGGTTAGCGCTCGAGCTCCTCTCGTGTCGTTCGATTATCCTCGAGGTCTCCGACTTCTTCTCGCTCTTCGTGATTCGCTGAAAAACGCTTGACCTCTGCCTCCTCTCCTCTCGCTCGGTTTTGCTCTTCGCGCTCGAATTCCCCATAGCCGAGGAATCCGGTTTAGCGTCCTTCGGCGATCCGTAGGTCGTGGAAGATCCCTTCTTCCGCGAATCTTCGTCCCGGCGCGGAGGAAGACTCCTATGCACCTCCGCGTCACCCTCCTGCCGGCTCGGCGGTGCGCTTCGATCGTGTGTCGCCGCTGCAACAAGCGTCGCCGAGGCCTCTCCTTCCCCGCGACGCGTTATTTCCGTCCCCGTCGCGCCTGCCAACGCGACGCCGAGCGTTCCGACGTCGCGCGAGCTTGACGGATCATCGTCGCGAATACCCGATGACGCGATCGATCGGCCGCTACTTTTCTCGACCTCCCTCTTCGAAACAATGTCCGGCTGATTCAGGGACCTCTCGACGACAGTCGAACTTCCTGAAGAGGAACCTGAAGAAGATGCTGAAGAGTTCCCGGAAATTTTCCTCAACGCGGAAGACCTTTCGCGAGTTTCCGGAAGTTCTGGACGTCGCGGCGACCCGAGTGGCTGATCATGAATGTCAGCGCAGCTCGAGATATAGTCTATTTCAGGTGGCGCCGGTGGTCTCTGAGGCTCGTGGCCGAAACTGGACGATCTTCTAGGTGGCAGAGGCGGAGATCGTTTCGTTTGCGACGGACTCGAGGATGAATCAGCCTCGTTCTCCGTTCTCGACACGTCGGGGGGATAGTTGATCACCGTTTCGACGAAATCGCGTTCCTCCGGCGATTCTCTGGCAAGCGTCTCGTCTTCCGACAATAATTCCTCATCAACGTCCTCCTCTTTATCATTCGCAACGTTTCCAGCGTCTTCTTCCATCTCGATTTTCTCGACCATTAACGTGTCATCTTTCTCGTTCGTTGCTTCATCAATGGATTTGCTCTCTCTTGTCACTCGCGTTCCCGCCAAACTCGACTCGATATTTTTCTCGACCTCGACGTCATCTTCTTCCGTAGTCTCGATCTTAATCTTAACGTCACATTCCAGTTCCTCGGAAGCTCTCTGGATCCTTTCGGGATCTTCCACCGCCTTCTCGGCGGAGTGTCTATCCTCGCGCCGATACTTGCTGATCTCCTCGTTTATGAAATCCCTGATGTGCTGCGCCTCGTCCTCCGACAGCCTCTCGCCTTCCTCCTGGATGATGTCCAGGAAGCTGCGGGCGTACTGCGACGCCGCCGACACCGAGCGCTTCCTCAACTTCCGGCGCGACGACACACTCGATTTTTCCACGCATTTGCTCTCCTCGAGCAAAACGTCACGCGACACGTCTCTCGAGAGAGATCGCCCTTCGTCCTCCGCCGCTTCCTCGGAGAAGCTCGGCAGTTGCAGGCCCTCGATGAAGGTCCGCAGCTTCCTCTCCACGTCCTTGGGCATCACTGAGGCGCACATCGAGGTCGGGGATTCCGTTTCCGGTTTCGAGATCCTCTTCACGAAGTGCTGCTGCTGCCCGACTCGCTCGTTCAGGAACTTGGATTCCTCCGAATTCCTAAAGTTGACCTCCGTATCGCTGTCGTTGACCTCTCGAATCTCCAATCGGCTTCCATTCGCTCGCGAAAATTCCGACCTCCCGTAGCCTCCGGGAAATCGTATCGATTCCACCGGCTCCGATATCGTCACCGTCGTCGTCCGGTCGCCACTTCCGGTCTCCAGGATACCCACCCCAGCGATATGGCCGATCGTCGCCTCCAGAGGGAGACTGCTGACGGTCGTAATCTCGATCGTTCCGAAGGGAGACTCCTTCAGTTCAACCTTCTCGATCCTGCATTTCTCGTCCGGCTGGATTCGATATCGGGGATTCGATGATCCGCCGCCTTCGATAGAGTCGACATTCTCCGAAACGGAATTCTCCGTCCTCTTCGAGTCGACGGTGTCGTCGTCGTCGTCCTCGCCGCCGCGCTCGTTCTTCAAGGTCACCGGTTCCTCGGCTTTCCGCGACGATTCCGCGGCGTTCGCCGGAAGACGCTGAGGGCCCGGTCGGTTGCGCCGGTTCCGGTTCCTGCGGCCGCGGTTGCGGTTCCTGCCACCCTGAGGCATCCCGAAGACGCTGTCCTCCGCGTCGGTCGCGTAATCCGAGGGATGATCGCGATATCCTACGAGGACGTTTTTCGCGAACCTTTTTTTTTCCTCTTTCTCTCTCTCTCTCTCTATCTATCTATCTTTCTCTGTCTCCTCTCAGGATTCTCCGTAAATATCCCGTCGCGGTCGTTTTACGTAACTTCTCCGAGCTCGGTTTTTCGCCATATGTATACGCGTCTCTCTACTCGGGATTTTTCTCTCTGTCTCTCGCGCGGCTCTTTTATTTTTACGTTTAAAAACGACGGCCCGACTTCCCTCTTCGCGGGAAAATTCAGCGGACGTTTAAGATTTTTTTCAAAGCACTATATGTGAAAAAAAGCTGTTACTGAAAGGTAGAAAGTTCGATCTCTCCCACGAATTTCTATTTGACACATGGATGTCTCGGGACTGAGGCACAGATAAATTTATTAACAAAAATAAATATTTGAGAAATATGTTAAGATTAAAATATTTTAATGGTTTTAAAAAAATTATTTTTTTTATCGTAATTCTTTAACCAGACAGAGTATTTTTTATTATAGATTTTTGAATGCCGCAAGCATATTTCACCAGCACGTCAAGTTTAATAAAATATAAATAATTTAATATGTAAAAAAAAAATAGTCTTTTTTACGATATTTGAGATTTTTACGATATTTGATATTTGAGATTTTTTGTAAAAAAGGTTAATGTATTGTTTATCCCCTATAAAATGCATTCGTTTTTATTCGATATTTTATTTTCTATTTCTCATAAAGAGACAGATTTCTCTATGAAAAATAGGCTTGCGTTTTCAACATCCAAAAATCTATAAGAAACATCTTGTTTAGTTTCAAATAATTCTGTAAACTAGTGTAATTTAATAATTCACTCAAATTTAAATAAACTGAAAAATTATTCTTCTTTAGTCGAGAATCTTTGGCAATTGCTGATATTTTAATTCTTAGTTTTATGTTTAATATTTTCGAAAAAATTTGCTACACTGCAACTTTAATATGTAATGTACCCTACTTCTTTTATTTAAAATCCGAGTTTCTTTCCTATTCTCGAAACAATTTGATAAGCTTTTAGGGAGATCGTCTCATCAAACAGTTGCAATCACAAGATGACGCTTGATGAAGAAAAGAAGAGAGAAGAAATCGCGTGTATGTGCAGTGTTTTCAGTGATCATGCAAACAAGCGTGGTCCAATCCAGCATCCCAAGTGTGTATATATATATATATATATATCCCGTCTCTTTTTGTCGATAACGAGGACCCACTTACCTTTCTTAACGTCGCTTCGTTGTTGTTCGCTCGGGCAGCTCTTCAGAGCACCGTTCTGATTGGCGTAGTTCTGCTCGACTTTTGTGTCATCTGAAAGAAATGGTTTCGATGTTACGGTGCGCGAATCTCGGAAAAATTGTCTCGTTCAAAGTTAAAAATTATCCTCGTTTGCATACCGCATAAACTATAATTTAAAAAACAACATATACATATGTATATATTTTTAAATATACAATTATAATACGAATAATTATAAGTAAAATCGAATAAATTTATATAAATAATAAATAAAATAAGAATATAAATTCTAAAAAAGAGAGAAAGATTAAAAACTATTACATTTATCGATTTACGCTCAAACTGAGATTCCTCGACACATCCCGACAGATCTCCGGAAGACGCTAATCTGACAGTCTCTCGCGCACATATATCGATTAGTCGAGAAAAAAAGAGAGTATGTGCGCGTGCACGAGACACGCGCGTTAAATTTAGGCGAGGATCCCGACGACGATCGTGTCGCGTCCGTGTTAAAACGTCAACCACCCGCAAATCATCGCACGGCGCGATGTCGCGACCTGCAGGGTTCGTGAATCGCGATTATGCACTGAGCACACGACGAGTGGACAAGCTCGACTACTCGCGTGAAACGCGCCCGCATTCCCCACCCGAGTCAAGAGTCACGTGTTTTGTCGTGCATCCACATACTTCACACGTTCGATCTAGGTGAATTTGTATGACGCACGCACACAGAGAAAGAAAGAAATTCAATCCCGTCATCGGAATTTCTACGGTACTTTGATCTCAAAATTCTCACTTATTTCGCGATCAAAGATGTTATATAGTGGCGAGGTAGCAAGAGTACATCATTTTCACATCAAATGACATCATTAGACGTCAAAATGTCAGTTTAATGACGTCAGTTTGCTACTTGGGATATAATTTGAAAAGAGTGCGAATCATTCTGCATTTTTTAGATAGCAAGCGTATATCATTTTGCGTCTCGATGACATCATTAAATGTCAAAATTATATCGTTTTGATGTCTATAGACGCCAGTTTGGGTTAGATACCTCAAATAGCAAACTGACGTCATTTTGACGTTTAATGACATCGGTTTGTTACTTAGGATATAGTTTCAATGTGTAAATCATCCTGCACTTTCCAGGTAACAAGGGTACATCATTTTGGCATCTTGATGACGTCATTAAATGTCAAAATGATGTCAGTTCAATATCTAATGACGCCAATTTGGGTTAGATACCTCAAATAGCAAACTGACGTCATTTTGAGGATATAGTTTCGATGTGTAAATCATCCTGCACTTTCCAGGTAACAAGGTACATCATTTTGGCATCTTGATGACGTCATTAAATGTCAAAATGATGTCAGTTCGATATCTAATGACGCCAATTTGGGTTAGATACCTCAAATAGCAAACTGACGTCATTTTGACGTTTAATGACGTCAATTTGCTACTTGGGATATAATTTGAGTGTGCGAATCATCCTAAACTTTCTAGGTAACAAGCGTACATCATTTTGGCGTCTCGATGGCGTCATTAAATATCAAAATGACGTTATTTTAAATGTCTAATGACGCCAGTTTGGGTTAGATACCCAAGTAGTAAACTGACGTCATTAAATGTCAAAATGACGTATGCTTGCTATCTAGGACGTCATATAAAGGGAATACTCGACAAAATTTTTGTCGCAAAACGTACCTCTTTTTTTATAAGAGAAAGGACGAAGGATATCTACAAAAGAGAGTACAAGTATACATACACACAAAACTGTGTGTGTAGAGATACAATTGTAACGCGCATTAGCACACATATATACACACGTATACACGTCCCCTCTAGAATCCCCTCTGAATTCATGAATAGCGACGCTTCCGAGTTGGACTTCCTTCCGAGCATACAATGCTGGTCGAGCGACTGACTCGCGCACCCATCTATTTTCCACACTTTTCATTGCGTCACGGCACGGACACACGCACACACGTGCGTCGCATGAGATCCGGAAGTGACGGAGTAACTCTTTTTTTTTCGTCGAACGAACGCGCCCCTCGTATTTCAGCGAGCTGACCCGTTTAATTCGGCGACGCTCATCGTAACTCGATCCGGAGCGAAAATAGCTAAAATAAGGAATCCGATGGAACGGAAGCTCCGATGGTACCAGTCGTAAAAAAAACCTACGCTCTGCGCAGATCGGACAGTTGTGACCTTGCGGTTACGCAACGAAAGTCGCTGAGTGCGATCAAATATATCGCATTAATTGCGTAATGCGATCGAAGGAGCTTAGATGCAGGATTAAAGGCTGTCGCAAACGCGATAAAGAGGGATGAACATCAGGGTGACTGCAGACTCTTTTTAGTATTACAAATTACATAATTCCATAATTTAAAAAATAAATAAATTTTATATAGACATATATATAATTTAAAATAAATTATATATGTCTATATAAAATTTATTTTTTTTTAAATTATGGAATTATGTAATTTGTAATACTAAAAAAAGTCTACAGTCACCCTGATGTTCATACTTCTTTATTATTTATTTTAAATTATATATAATTTATAATATATGTATGTGATTATATGTATTCTATATACATATAATTATATAGAAAATGTTTCCAAAGTACAAAAAAATTAAAAGGATTTTTTTCGGCTTATTTTATAAAAAAGGTCGTATAAATATTTTTTCTAAACTACTTTGTTTTCAAAATACAAAATGTCAAAGTTGTAAAATATTGAAAAATATAGAGGATAGGCACGTTGAATTTCAAATCTTTGAAATATCAAATTTGTCCTAAACTACTTTGTTTTCAAAATACAAAATGTCAAAATTGTAAAAAATAAAAAATATAGAGAATAGGCATATTGAATTTCAAATCTTTGAAATATTAAATTTGTTCTAAACTATTTTGTTTTCAAAATACAAAATGTCAAAGTTGTAAAAAAATGAAAAATATGGAAGATAGGCACATTGAATTTCAAATCTTTGAAATATCAAATAGAATAAAATAGATAGCTTATTGATACACATGATTCAGCTTCTACAGTTTTTAATTTAACTTGAAAATGGTTCATCGTTTCAAAAAAATCAAGAGGCAATTTTTGTAGAGTTTAAGTTAAGATTTTTTTTTTAATTATTAAACTTGAAAAAAACAATGGTGTACATTTTTCATTAAAAAAACCTTAATATATTTACGCCCGACCCTGGTAGACCTAAAAATGTTTCGTCGGTACTGGAAAAGGGTTCTCAATATTACATATACGTGATATTTGAATTTGAATAATTTGAATAAAATTTGAAAATTGAAATAAATTATCATTAAACATCTTTGATATTTTGTATTTTGAAGACGAAGCAGAATATATGACCTTTTCTTCATAAAAATAAGCCAAGGATGAATATCCTTCAAATTTTTTGTACTTATTTATAGAAAATACCCTGTGTATTTAATTATACATATAATTACACATATTATTACTATTATATATTCTCTCTTTCCCAGACTTTATGTTTCGACCATAAAAATAAATACAAGCCCCGGACCTTTTTAATTTACAGTCGCGTTATTCCAAAAAAAAAAAAATAATAATAATAAAAACTGCACGACGGGCTTCACGGTATAAATTACATGACGGATTTTTCCCTGGGGAAAAATTAGAAAGGAGACACGCGCATTTATAGCGATCCGGTACCGGGACCCCATGCTCGCCATGGGCGCGTTAATACGCACGATGGGTGCGTCTCGTCATGCACCGAAGGTGCCAAGCCCACGTTTCCGCGATCCGACGTCTTCCATCTTCGTCTCCGGATGGTCTCTCCTGCCCTACCCTCTTGCGCCCTTCGTGTCGGGGATTTCCTTCGATCCGATCGTCGCTCATCGCTTGCGCAATCTCACGACGTCGCGGCGTGACATATTTTATTGCCTGGACGATTCTGTCCGTTGCATAATCGATCGTCACGCATCGCGTAGATTCGACGGATCTAAGAGCCCGCGCCCTCGTATCTGATTTTTACATGCAACGCGATTTCCGTGAAAAATCGCGGAGGTTTGCCAATGCGTCACTTTTAATCGGAATTTTCATTATTTTTTCATAAATGTAAAAAAAATTAAAATGGCAAAATAAAAAAAAAATAAATTGTAAAAATTAAGAAAGGACACAAAATGAAAAACTGAGAAATTTTTATTTTCTCCCTCTCCTAGAAAAAATCCCGAGGCCATGAATGTAAATGATATAATTTCTTATACATATATACATATAAAAGGCAATAAGAGCTAATTAAGTTCTGTTTTATTTGTGGAAAAAAATCCGGAGAGATCCGTTTCGCGACAATTACATTAAATGACGATTCGAGGAATAGAATATATAAAAATGCTCATGCTTTTAAAAAATGCGTTGATTTCGTTTTTTATAAAAATATCTTGACGTAGTTTTATGCGAATAACTCTGTTTCTTTATAGTTTTAGTATATTGACAGTTATGAATAATTTATTGTTAATTTCTATTAATTTTTAATTTTAAATGATGCGCTGAAGAAGGTTGAAAAAGGCAACCGAAACGTTCGAACTTTTTTGTCTAATATTTTATGTTAAAAAATTTTTTTCCACAAATAAATATTAATAACAGAACTTAATTAGCTCTTATTGCCTTTTATATGTATATTAATTTTTAAAGAGCTGTTACAAATTATATTAATTTCTTATAATAAATAAAAAATCACAAATTATACTTTCTCTGATATCAACTGAATTTCATCATTTGACAGGATTGATTCAACTTTTTATTCTATTAATTGACTGTTTAATGTAATTAAGGCGAGCACTTTTTTACATTTTCCAAGTACGCGAACAAACTCTGTTCTAAATATCTGGCGTGCGACTTGTTCGCGATAAAGAAACAATTTCCGTTCGAACAAACCCGCTCAACAAACGGAGATTGCTATTTCCGGTGACGCATTGTTCGATCGAGACTGCGATTGCGAATTTTGCGACGTAAATCGAAAACCATCGTTTCGATCGACCGTAATATCGATAAATATCGAACACGAAAGACTGTCGCGAAGAAATTATTACGATAATTTTGTCATTCATTTCGATAAATATTAAAATAAATCGTATAAGAACATAATAGAAACACCAATAAAAATACAAAGAATTGCTCATTATGTAAAATTTTCATTATTTTAAAAAATATTTTAAAAATTTCTATTTTTTAATTATATTTTTTCATAGAAATATAATTCTAAAATGATATAATAAAATATATAATATTATATGCAAAATTTTCATTATTTTAAAAAATTTCTATTTTTTAAATTATATTTTTCATAGAAATATAATTCTAAAATGATATAATAAAATATATAATATTATATGCAAAATTTTCATTATTTTAAAAAATATTTTAAAAAATTTCTATTTTTTAAATTATATTTTTTCATAGAAATATAATTCTAAAATGATATAATAAAATATTATATATTTTATTATAATAAAATTATATTTATCAACAATATAATAACCATTTGATTTCAACTGACAGCGTCAACGTGATGCTTATAACTCTAGTACATCCTTCCTATTTAAAGAATCGGATGACCCTCAAAAAGCGAACGTAATGACGCGTTACTAATTGCACCGTCTCGTTCGTTGCGGCAAGAACGGCCTATAAGCACGATCAAATTTCAGCGACAAGAAGCGCACTGTTGATGTCAACGCGAAATTGGATTGATGCGAGAGAGAAACTTGGATTCCAACCGCACAACACGTTCGTTAAGTTCGTAATTCAATTATTAGCAGCATTTTTTGCCCACATTCGCCGCAAAGTTTCCGATACTTCGATAAATGTACTTTATCTAAACAATGTTTATTCGTAAAAAAATTCATGAGAATTTTTTATGAATATTTTGCTGTTCCCTTCAAATGTATAAAACTCCATGTTCTCTTATCAGTGTTTGCTGTTATCTAAATAAAATTATATAAATGATCATCTAGAATCTAGATGAAATTTAGGCATCATCTTATTTTTATATAATAATAAAAATATGTATTATCTATAGCTACATCTTACAATTAGATAAAAAAAGTCTTTACTAAATTATTTTTATTAAATTAATTTGATTTAGAGTCATAGTACATAAAAATACTTAAGTAATAAACTTAAGCAGTAAGTGATAAAAATTTATAAATAAAAATATTAATATATTTTTATATATACCTTTTATAATTTATATTTTTTTATAACTGTGTTTACATAAGCGGTCTTAAAATTAATATTATCTGAAAATTATCTAGATGAATCGCTATATAATTTTATCTAGATAACAAAATCATCTTCATCTTATCTAAGATAAATTTACATATTTTTACCTCATCTTTATCTAGCTAATTTTAAAACCATCTAAGTACAACACTGTCCCTAATCGACTTTGATCATTACCTAGATCCATTTAAAACAAAATTATCTTCATTTTTTTAAGATGAATTTAAATATTTTATCTAGCTAATTTTAAAATCATCAATAACAATAAACACTACACTGACTGTAATCGACTCTGATCGTTACCTATATAGATATATTTCAAACAAAATCATCTTCATCTTATCTAAGATAAATTTACATATTTTTACATATTATCATCTTTATCTAGCTAATTTTAAAATCATCTAAGCACAACACTGTCCCTAATCGACTTTGATCACTACCTAGACTAATTTAAAACAAAATCATCATTTGTTCTGAACAAAATTTACATATTTTTACCTCATCTTTATCCAGCTAATTTTAAAATCATCTAAGCACAACATTAACCCTAATCGACTTGGATCGTTACCTACCGTTTCCTGTTTCGACATCAAACCCGTTCGAACTCTCGCCCGGCGGTCTGTCTCGACAAAAGTCCAAGCCCACCTTCTCCTCCTCCTTCGTGATCTCCGTCTTAACACGATTACTCGATCCCACCCCTTCGTAGTCTCCGTCCCCGAGTCTCAACCCTTCCCCGTGTTCGACAGCTGTTTCCTCGTCCTTGAAGCGAACCGTCTTGTTCTCGCGCGTCGCGAGAAACACCTGTTCACCCTGTCGGTTCTTCAAAATCGGCGCTCTAACAAACAGATCCAGCATCGTGCGCTCGATCTTCACATGCTCCTTCACGATCCGGTCCAGCGCGTCCGCGTACGATCTCTCGGAGATGTACGAGACAACGTCGTTTTCGCGAGTCAGGCTCTGATTCGAGCGAAATCCGTCGAGAGAGCTCCGCAACATCGGGGATCCGCTCGTCCAGGGTCCCTCGGGGATCGCCACCGTGTTCATCCGCCTGAAATCCAGGCTATTCAGCTTGTTCTCGAAGTTCTGCCGGGTCTCTGTGTTGCGAAAACACGGCGGCGGATCGATGAGGAACTTGAGCGCCTCCAGGTGCTCGTAATATTCACGCTCGAGCTCGCCAGCCCTTCTTCCGGCAGCCCGGTTGGCTCCCTTCCGTCCGGTGTCGTTGACTCGGGACGTATCTACGTTCGCGGGAATCTTCCTCTTCCTCAAGTGGACGCCGTTCAGCGTCCTCGGGATTCCCACGACCCGTCTTGACGATTCGTCGTTTCTGAGCAGCTTCTTCGGACGCTTGTTCCGACGTTTCCACGAAGCGCCGAAGCTGCGCATCGCGGTCAGAAATTGGATTCTTCGGGTATTGGAGGCTGACGAAGAGGACTCCAGGTGATGACGATGATGACGAGCGGAAGGACGTTTCGTCATCACCAGAGGATCCGTTGTCTCGTTGCAGCCTCGCCATCGTCGCCGATTGAACGTCATCAGACATTGAGCGCAATCGAAGAATTTCATCTTCTTTGAGGGATGGATCTTGTTCGATTTTATTTAATTTCTTTTTCCTGTGTAGCTCTATTCGATTCAGCTTCATGTAGTTCGAGCTCTTGTTCGAAACTCATTAATTGCACTGTTTAATCAAAAATGATTTTTTTCGAACACCAGAACAAGTCGTTTTTTTTATAGTTGTTTGGATGCTGAATACGAATCCGGTTTCCAAATTGCTCCATCATGTCACAATTTTGAAAAATTTTTAATTAAAGTTACAAAAAGGGATTTTCACGAATTTTGTCATATTATAACTCCAATATATAACGTACTAGAGAAATTTGATTGCTATAAAAATAAGGTATGTTGTTAGAATTTTTAATCCTTTAGAGGAATTTTTGGTGTCAGTTATGGTTAATAAGATATCTATGGTTAAATATGAGTTGTAACTTACAATTAAGTCATTGATGATTTACTAAATAGCTTTTAAGAATATTTTAGGTCATTAAAAACGAATTCAATTCCACCATTTTGAATTTGACAATTTTGACACTGAATTCGTATTCAATAACCTGAAAACTTTTAAGATTAAATAAACGCATAATTGAAATATATTTATATTCTACTTAACTTCCGCAATATATCGCATTTAACCATGAATATCCATAACCGACATCAAAAATTCCTATTAAGGGTTGAAAGTCCTAACAATATACTTTATTTTGATTGCAACAAGTCTTCTCTAACATGCTCGTCACGTATTGTAAAAAAATTCAGCATTTGTTCCCCTTTTGAATAAACATAAAAATTTATTTGCATATTTAATATAAAAAATGAAAATGACAAAGTAACAAAAAAATAAATTTAAAAAATTAAAAAACAAAAAAATTGATTATGTCCTCTTCTGAAAAAAATCCTGCGGACGCTTACGGCTGTAATATAAAACAAAGTTCGCGAAAAAGGCTCTTTTTTGCAACTCTAACTAAAAATTTCTCAAAGTTGTGACGTGATGGAATAATTTGGAAACCAAATTCATAATCAGCATCCAAAAAAAGCTATAGGAAACGACTAGTTTCTTTCGAATAATTTTTTTTTTTCGTCGAACAGTGTTATCATTGATCCCACTGCAGCCTCATCGTTGAATTTACTTTCGTGATTTGTCCCGCAACAAATTTATCGCCGCGATGCCCTTTCCTTCGTCATCATTACGCAACCGCGTGCAGCTTCATTAAACGACGATTCGCGACTATTGTACCGTCGGATAATGCGCGTATTGTTGACGATCGCGTCATTCGCCATCGTCAGTCCCCTGTTGTGTTGCATTTCCTGATTGAACACTCATCGGCGTTGCCATTTATGTTAACTCCAACATTCGCTCGATCGTTGTCAATCAAGCGACAAGCTCGACGAAAAAATAATTACGTGCACGATAAATGATGTCGTCGGTCGATCACATAATCGTCCACGGTTTCTTGCACCATTTCATTAAATTTTATTACGCCGCGCCGAACTGAAAAATTGCTATACAATATTCACGCACTTCATTATGACTTTCGTTATATTTTCTTTTTTTTTTTTTTTTAATTTACAATACGAGATCAATTTTCGACCGTATCCGAAAATTCTTAATTTCACCCTATTTTTGAAAGGAACGACGCAACGCGGTTCGAAGTTCGATTACTCGGCGCGGCGCGCTCTTCAAGGCGTTCCCTGATACTGAACGGGAAGGTGGGTCTCGCAGGCCTGGAAAAGGCAGACGAGGAGACGAAGAGGGTCGCCTCTTCGCGATGCTAGGGCCTTCTCGGAGAGCCGAGGGTGCGCCGGCCACGGAATTGCCGGCGTGTCGTTGTGTCGCAGGTGTACCCGCTCGTAGATGAGAGCGTACATGCGAGCTCGGGACAGGTGTGTCGCGTGTGCGTGAGACACGCACATGTACGCGCCAAGCGAAGCGTGGGTATGTGCCGTCTGGATGTGCACTGTACCGCGACGACAAGCGGGCAATTTGGAGAAAAGAGCCGGTAATATAATGGCCAGAGCGGTGGGATGACGATCCGTCGCCGTGTGTATTTATGGTCAACGTACACGTCATACTGCTGCACTTATTAGGTTAGAGTACGATCCAAACTGGGCGGCCAATTAGCGGCGATTAATCAACAACAGCCTTCGACGAGATTAATCTCTCGAGATAATCTTCGAGATTTTTTTTTCAATTTAAAATAAAGTCCCGGTTTGATGTTTCATACTTATCCCAAACAAACTGACGTTATTAAATGTCAAAATGACGTCATCGAGATGTCAAAATGATGTACGCTTGCTACTTCGAAAGTGCAAGATGATTTGCATATCAAAACTATATCCCAAGTAGCAAACCGACGTCATTAAACGTCAAAGTGACATCATTTTGATTTTGGATTGCTCCTAGCTCCTCGCTGACCATGTTGGAATTATGACGTCAGAGGCGAGAAAATACACGCTGAAAATTCTTACGTGTCATTTTTAGATAAAAAGATATTTTGATAAAACGTAAATTCAAAACTTTTTTCCTTTAACAATCAATCAACAACCGTAAAATAATTGTAATCAGACTTTGTCATGCGAAATAACTGCGTATGTGCAAAGACCAGGCGGATTGGGCCTCATATTACAGTCATTTTATTGTAGCTGTTGATTGATTATAAAGGGAAAAGAATTTTAAAAATATACTAGAGCCATCTGAAGTAATTTTTCATCAAAATATCTTTTTATCTAAAATGAACACGCAAGAATTTTTAGCGTCTGCTTTCTCGCCTCTGACATCACAATCCAACATGGCCGCGGCGAGGCTCCAGGAGCCTTATGTGTCGCAAAATCTTGGGTTGATAAAAAAATGTGTCTATCCATTCGATGTTTTTCTTACAAGAAAAAAAATTACTAAAGCATGAATGAATAGCCGCGCACGGAAGGTCGACTTGATTAATTCGGCCAGCCTAAAGCTGTCACCGAGGCTAACTTCTATCGCTGTCGCGCATAAAGGAACAGGCCGCCATTGTCCGCCATTGAGATCATCGGAGATAATTAAACTACGCTCATTGTATACGCTCAGTTAACTGGCAGGATTATTGTGCTCGACCAAGCACCGGTAGTCATGCGTGGGTAATTTCTAGGTCCTGCGGCGAAACGCGACAACCGGACATAAGCGCAACAAATGAGAGTATCGAATCGTGCGTATAGACCGAGAATTCATAAATTGTTAAAAGTGTCGACGCGATAATCATCCTTGCCGACGAGTCGATCGCTCTAACTATGTTATCTTTTCCCTCCCTTCAAACTATACCAAAATTACTAGCATCCTCCCTCGCAATCACGGTCGCGTAAAATACGTCGAGTTAGGCGCGTTAAAAATTAATTGGAAAGCGACGATAGGGCTCTCAATAAGCCCGATGTTTGATAACGCGCGAGATTAATCGGGAATCGATAACGAACCCGGTTCCTCAAATTCGCTTGCGATTAATTGGAAATTCGCTCGTATATAACTTCAACATTATACGTATATTTAATTAATCGCAGGCCGCATTCGACGCGTTCGGCAAAAGTTTTTCTAACGAACTCTGTTAATTATTAATTATCGGATATACACGATACGTCTATTTCGGTCGTTTTACATACGTGAGTATTTTACGTATTTTTATTTTTATCTAACAATAAGATACAACATAAAAATAATAATAATTGATTATAAAGGGAAAATAATTTTAAAAATATACTAGAGCCATCTGAAGTAATTTTTCATCAAAATATCTTTTTATCTAAAAATGGCATCTAAAATTTTATCTAAAATACGCAAAAATTTGACCCAGGTAGCAAACGTACGTCATTTTGACGTCAAATAACGTTACTAGACATCAAAGTAATGTCATTTTGACATCTAATCACGTCAGTTTGCTACTTGAGGATTTTTATATAGGAAGACAGCATTGAAACTTACTGGCAACGTTCTTTTCCGCTTCCGACCGTGTGCGCGTTGTCGTTGTGGTCCTTGTGGTGATTTCTGCGGCGAAGAAATGACAGAAATGATTTGATTGGCTTTCGTTTCATACCGACATTGATAGGTTTTTGCGGGAAATACTTACTGTTCTGAATCTCGGTCGTGGTATTCTCCTGCAAACTGCTCTTGTAGATCCTCCTCTTTGGCGAGCCGATATTTTCCCTGCGACGAAAAAGGAAAATAAATACCAGAGAATAAAACTTCCGATTGAAGTAGAATCGAGCGTTTAATCTTGCTATTTCGCAAAGAGTCTTATACTGTCTTAAAGAAAAACGACTCACTGATTGAGACCGAGCTTTAACTGCTCCCCGGAATTACGTAGCAAAGCGTGCGCCTCGCTGTTGGTCAGATCTCGAGTGCTCCTTCCATTAATGTTACTAATCAGATCACCCTCTCTCACTCCCTGCTGAGATGCCTTGCTTCCCGGATTTACCTGCAGCAGACAAAATACAAAAAATAGGTCAAAAAAATCCGGCAATTTTATTTGTATTTAGAGTTTTATCCGTATTTGACGATCTCTGCGAGATCGTTAGAAGTAAAATAATGCGATTTCGGTTGATACGAAAGGAGTAAATCAACGAGCGAATTATCAGAACAAGAGAATGATTGAGAACCACTGCGGCGATCCCTCGATGCGCCTGGAGGTAGGCAACTTCCCAGACGTCGACACGCGACGTTGTCTGAAAGCGGCCGTGCAGGCGAAGTCACGACAAATTGCCACGCGATATGGAATCGAAATACGATGAAATATACGACGATATGTTTCACAAGTCGATAATTGAGCAGTGATTAAGTGCCGTAGAGCAAGAGTATATTTAGATATATTATACATGCGTATAATTTATAAATAATATATTATATATTAAAATATATCATACACATATAATAATATTAATTTTAATTTATTATATATATATTATATAATATATTATATATATTATTTCATATATTTATATATATTATATTATATATTTTATTATATATTATAGATATGTTATATAATTATAAAATGTAATATATATGTATAAGATTATTTAAATTATTGTATAATATATTCACACCCGTGTTGTGCTTGGATGATTTTATTTTAAATATACCTGGATAAAAATATATAATTGTATGAGGATTCATCATCTGGATAACTTCCAGATAATATTATTTTTAAAGTCGTTTGTAAACATAGTTATAAATAAAAAATATAAATTATAAAAGTAATAATAAAAATCTATTCAAATTACTTTTATTTATTTTTATCGCATATTGCTTAAGTCCTACTGCTTAAGTATTTTTATGTATTATGGCCCTAAATGAAACATCTGAATCTGAACATTATTCTAGATAATTTAGTAAAGATAACATTTTTTTCATTTAAGATATAGATAGGTATAGATAATATAGGTATAGATAATATAGGTATAGATAATTTTTATTATCTAAAAATAAAGATATCATCTAAAGATCTAAAGATAAGATAACGCCAAAACTTCATCCTGAATATATTATATTTACCCATACAGCACAAAATATTATAAATGTTTTCAAAAATATTTCTAAATAATTCTATAAAATATTGCATAAAAACATTTTAAAATAGTTTTAGGAATATTTTGAAATGATTTAAAAACTTTTTGTGATAACATTTTTTAGAATATTTTTAAAACTTAAAAATATTTTTAAAAATGTTCTTTATCGCTCAGATAATATTATCTTAAATATTTGATACATATTTTTAAAATATTAGTTTAAATCTATATTCAAAATATTTCTGATATTTTTTACACATGAAAAAGCGGACATAGAAACATTTTAAAAATATTTTCAAGAATTATTTTATCTGTTAAAAAGTATTTTTAAAAAATTTTAAATATTTTGTACTATATCGGTATATATTTAATAATACATTATAATATTATATATATATGTGTGTGTGTGTGTATGCTTGTTCGATAATTGATTATATCACAAAGGTATTCAATTATACCATATTTACTATATCCGATATTGAAAAAATCCAGAAAGAATGGCGTCTCTCCGCGGAAAAATGCTCTGGCGCAATGGCAAATATTGAACAAGCGAATGCACGTACAGCATAAATAAATCCCGAGATAAATTCCTAGGAAAAATTAACTTTCCTTTCTTCGACGACGCCTCCTCTCCGCGAGATTTAAATCACAGACGCTTAAGATTCTCACCGTGTCTTCGCGCTTCCGTTGGCCGGATGCTACTCGGAACTTCAACATCCCAACGTGCTCCTCCGTTCAATCGCTGACAGAATGCAACCGCAAAACGTACCGGGCGAAGACAGATTTATCCCAATCCCCTGCTTCTGCTTTGTCACCGAAAAAAAAATTGCTGCTTTTGTCGCCGCGAATTTTGGACGTCCGACTCTTTTTTCACGACACGTGCGTACAATGTTATTGTTTATTGCTTCGTAAACACCCACATGTTATCCTTTCAATGTTATATTATTGTCTTTTCAATTTTATATTGTTGTCCTTTCAATTTTATATTGTTTGGAATGCACCTTTATTTATCAATAGATTAACCCTCCTGTCGATGAACGAATGGGTACCAAATACCTATGGGTACCAAAGCAACTGCAAATGTTGAAAATGTATTGGAAATTTTTCTCCGCCCAAAATAAAATACAAAGGGCTTTTGTATTCGGAAAAATAACGGAAAAGAATGTTCGATGCCCAGCGGCTGCTAGAAAAAAATTGTCTCAGTGCACAATGTGTCGAAAACACACAATTCGTACGCTGTTGGTACCCCATTTATTCATGAAGTGATGAAAAATTACGCATCGACGGAAGGGTTAATTATTACAGAAGCGTTCTCTATATTTCCCAAATCCGCTTCAATCGACACGTTATTATTATTCGTGCAACAAATCGTGCAGAATCGGACGGAAGACGCGACCAGGTGGAAGCTAGGAGCGACGTTGTTAGACGCCTCGGAGGAGAAACGAATACTGAAGCTCGTCTCCTGGACAGGATGCATCTACGACGTTGGACCGCCGTCGCACCGGCGCCAGACTTTTCGACTACGGCGGAACAACAGAGGAACTTTTCCGACTGACCTTCCTTGCGGATGTTGTTTGGATTTCGAGAGAAATGGAAAAGGAGGAGGGACGGATGTAACGACGAAATATAACGATTCGAGCGAGAGATTCAATTTTGTTTACGCAACTTGAACTGGCTTCCGGCCAAGCCGCACTGTTTCGCGCATTTTATCTCGATTAAAAATGCGTCATTTATTTATTGTAGCTGAATTTATGTACAGCTTGTTTCTAAATAAGTGCGAAAAATTTTAGGGGATGATTCTGCGTCAAAATTTAATTTTTTTTTCTCAAATTTTACAAATAAATTTGGTGGATATTTTTCATTTATAAAATAATATTTTGTAATCTTCTCATATCGTCATAAGGATAAGATAACAACCCTTATTAGTAGAACGTTTTAACGGAACCGAAATGCAATTATTTAAAAATATGCGTTAAAATGCTCGATTCTTTTAAAAAACTCTTATTTCTTTTATTTTTTTCGTAAATCAATAATTTTCAAAAAAATAATCTAATTTTTATCTCCCCTTTTAAAGGAGTACATATTTATATGAAAAACCTCCTTTAATTTTCGACAAAAAATCATCTTTTAAAATTGTTCGCACATATTTAGAATTATCCTATATATACAATTCTTCTTTTTTTCAATATATAATATCCTTTATTTCTACTATGTTCATTTAATATTTTTTATTTATATTTAAAATAAAAATTTAAATAGCTATTATGTATGTAGATAATATCACCTAAATATTATCTTTTACTATAAATTAACCGAGACTATTTCGGGGTGAGAAAAGTTTTTGTTGTTGGAAGATTTTATTGTTTCGTCAATTATTAGTATCATCCTCTTATCGCGGTACGAAGATTAAAAAAGGATTCTTTTTACTAATAGAAAATATCCATCAAATTTCATTTTTTCCTTGTCCAAAATATGAGAAAAAAAATAAAAACCTAATTTTTACCTCCCTCTTTGAAAAAATGTAACTCTTCAGGGAGAAATAAAGAAACTCCCCTTAATTTTCGACAAGAATCATCTAAAATTTTTTGCATTTATTTAGATACACAACCTGTATATATCCTATCTATATAAGAACACGCATATAATTTGATCTCTTTATTAAAAAAAATTCCATAAAAATCGTAATAAATGGTAATTTATATTTGTATATTTATATGAATAATTGATTATTTATATGAAAAACTTCCCTCAATTTTCGACAAAGAATCATCTCCTAAAATTCTTTGGGTTACATTCGTGCGAATTAAAATTGACGAAAAATAAATTTTCGTGTCTCGATTATTTATACATCCACGACGCGAGTAATAATTATGCAAGTTATACCGAGACAGAAAGCTAAATTATCGATAGGCGAGCGAGAGCGAGCGGCCACGCTCAAAGTGAAACAGGCGGACGAATGTTGAACTAGCTAGCAGACGAAATTCCGCGCTTTACGCTTCGCGCATAAAATCTCTCAAACTTTTAACTATGCGCGACACGACTTTCCAAGTGCATCGACAAAACTTGGAACGCTCTCTGCTTCATTACCAGCCAATGCGAGCTATTTCGCGGCTAAAGAACTTTCCGAGAGCTATTCGCGACAACATCCCAGAGTCGTTGTCTCTTCTAAGTTCTAAATTATTAAATTCTACATAAATGAATAAAATCCTAATGGACAATTCTATCATTCAAACATTTCAAATTAACTCGTTTTTGATAAACTAATGTAAATCTTGGTGTGATATATTAATAGATCTGTTCTTTTCAGCTGAACTGACTACACTAATTTAGAGGTTATTTTTTCCTTCCAATGTCGAACAAAAAAAAACAACCTCTGAACTAGTGTATCCAGTTCAGCTGAAAAGAACAGACCTAATATCTCAATTTAATTAAATTTTTCCAGACAGAATATACTATTTTCGAGATGTCTATTTTACGATCAAGTGTCGTCCGATTTTAATGACTCTTCAATCATCGCGCGGCGAGTTAAGGGAAACCGCAAAAACGATTGGCGAAAGCGACGAAGGAAATTGCTTTCCGACTACGCGAGATAATAACATCCACGGGGAGGAAATGCGATGGTGAAAAGCGAGGAAAACCGGACAAGATGATGTAAGACCAGTCAAGGATCATTGTAATCAATCTCGCAAAATATAAGCGATCGTAAGATTATACAAAGACACACTTTACCAAACATTCGTACAATTTGTTCCACGATCTTAAAATCAACAAATAAAAAACAAAATTTATTGAATTCTAATAAATATTATTTCAATACTGCCTAATAAATCATTTATTTGATATAAAAAAATTCTTTTCAAAACATCGGTAGGATTTTTTCAGAGAAAGTGCATAATTAAAATTTTTTCTT